CTGAGGAGGTTTGGCCACACTGGCAAGTCCCAGATTCAGAAGCTGGAGTCATCCCACACCCCCTTTCACCCCATCAAATCTATATTCTGTGCTCTGGCAGCTGCTTTTGCCATTTACATTAAAAGCAGATGGGGAAATTGCAAAGAACTGTCAGTTTTATTGCCATGCATAATCGGCATCTGGGCTGTGTATGTTACAGATACCATCAATCCAATCTCATACTTTCCTGGTGCTGTAAAAACTTTTTGAGGTTTTTTAAAATGTGTTTTTCTTTATTTCAGAGAGAGGAAAGGAGAGGAAGAGATAGAATCATCAATGATGAGAGAGAATCATTGATCGGCTGCCTCCTGCACACCCCCTTCTGGGGATTGAGCCAGCAACTCAGGCATGTGCCTTGACTGGGAATTGAACTTCAAGCCACATTGGCCAGTCAAAACTATTTTAGTTTCTAAGCCACATGTTAAACATGTTTATCATGGAAATTGCAACTATATATACATACATATGTGTGTGTGTGTGTGTGTGTGTGTGTGTATATATATACATATATATGTATATATATATTTATATGTATACATAAATGAATGATATATGTGTTTAATAGTTACTAAGTTATCTGCAAATCTGTACTGCTTATTTGTTTAAAAACATTTTTTAGAACCATATGTATTTATTTTATATTAGAGATCAAATCATGTACCAGATTTATTCAATTATATAATCTATGTGTATGTGTATATGTGTGTGACTAAAATGTATTGTAGGCATTATGTAATGCTAAGTGTCATATGTGTGGTTACATATATACTCATGTATATTCTCATATTTTTTTCTTTTCCCATTTTTCGTGCAAGAAGAAAAAAAATATCATATATTTTCTTCTACATCTCATTATTTACCAACACACTTAGGGTAGGTTTTACTTTCCTCATTTTTCAGAAGGAGAAACTAAGACACAAAGAAGCAAAGTAGCTTTGCAAGGTCCAGAAAGCCAATGAGTGACGTAAATATAATGTAATCCCAATCTCTGTAAGCTTCTAATCACTGAGCTACACATGGTCATCTTTGTGTATAGACAGATACAAAACATTAATGTCTCTTGGAGAGAGAGCTACTTATGTGTTGGCATGTAAATGTTATTTTGTATGGTTTGTCAAAATAATCTAGTTTGAAGATATTGAGACTAATGCCTGGGAATTGAACCATGAGCTCAAGTGTCTTCACATCACTTAATATCTTCTCTGTGGCTTCAGAACTAGTTGGAGCTTTTGAATTGCCCAGCGACACTGCGCTGAATACTCTACTGATGTAAGATGTGATAGTTTTTTCATTTTCTATAATCTGAATTAGGCACTAGAAGGTGACATATATTGGTTGCAATCCATTCTTTAGGAACTCTAAAAGTATCAAGACATGTTTTATTCATATAAAAATCAGTAATTAATGAATAAGAGAAAAATGTATGTGAGTGGAGAGGAAAGGTCTTTATTGGTTAAATTATTTTAAATTGTTGGATTGGAGCAGTTCGAAAACTGTCTTCATTTTTTTTTTATCTCATTGAGCTTCTAACTAAAGCTTCCTTATGGTTTTGATGAAGTGGTAGCAGCAAATTGCTTTACATAAAACAGATAGATGATAGATAGATAGATAGATAGATAGATAGATAGATAGATAGATAGATAGAGAGGGAGAGAGAGTGTGAGATGGATACACACACATACACAGTGATTAAATGTTTTAGAATTGTTCACATACATTCTGTGGAGAAAAAGGAAAATGGTAAGGTCCTGTCTACTTTTATACATTAAAGAAAGGTTTTCTTACACTACGTGATTTATAGAATTTTCTCCCTCCCTTATTTAGTTTTCTAAATATATTTTTACTTTGAAATTCCAAATAATGAATTTTCTTTCTATGAAGGACTAGCATTTGGAAGGCTCTTAATTATGGTGGATTTTAGCGATTACACTATCTGTTTTTATAACCCTAAATGTTTTTAATTTGATTCGTCATGGAACAATGGATTCATATTTGCATCTTATAAATTCAGCAGATTCTATGCTATTAAAATAGAAGGTCAGAGGACAGCAGAGATAGAAAATGTACATTTCATTTGCTTTTTGAAACCTTCACCTGAAAAGTCTTAATATTTTTCTTATTGATTTTTTAAATAATTTGGTTTAAACATTTCCCCCTCTATTTTGTAGGAGTAAGGATACCATTTGGGATATGTGTGGTTTATAGTTTATAAAATATATCCTGGTTTTCTTATTTTCAAGAACCTGAAATTTATGAAAGGTAGTTATATGACCTTGTTTTACATGACTGTTCAGTGAAATCTAGTCACTCAGACTTTTTAATTTGTTCTCATCATAGCATTATAATCTTTTGAGCAAATCTTTAACAAAATGAAATGTTTCATTGGCCTGGGTTTGAAGAAAGTTCTACAATCAATAATATGCCAACTATGGCTTTCTTTTAACTTTATTTTTATTGATTACATTTTAAACTCCTTAAAATTTAACTATAAGAATGGATTACAGCAAAAAAAAAAAAAAGTGTCTCTAAACCATCAATTTGTAATGTTCTAGTCTATAATGTATTAGGGAAATTATTTAAATGCCCTGTGTTACATTTAGAACTTTTGAGAAAAATATGCCTTGTTAGAACCTACATAGGTAAGTGAGGTGCCAAATCCACATTTTCTTCATAAAGTTTTTTCTTGTCTTCTGGGGTAAATCTGCCTCGTAAGCGCCAACAACTTGGTGGAGGAGAAATTTGTAAAAAAATGGAATACAGGAAGATAAAAGCCCTTAGGAAGAGAATGCCCTCGGGCATATAGAGAAAGGTACCGCTAACCATTCCTGAGGAAATAAAGTAAGGCTCCCAAAGGTGGCCGTGTTTCAGTCACCTTCACATGACTGAACAGTATTATGAATAAAGATGTAAAAGTATTACCTAAATGGCTAATAATTGGAAATGATTTGGGAAAACATTTTGATAATTGGATATTAAAAGACATTAAAATAATGTCTTCCAAAAATTTTAATGATATAAGAAAACATGTATGATATGATATTTGTTATAAAGGATACAACTCCAATCCTTTGTATGCTAATACTTCAATTATAGAAAATAATAAGTATGCATGCATAAGAAATAAACTCACCAATTTTAGTTGTGCATTATGGGCAATTAAATTTTATTCCTTACATATTTTATAAATAAACTTGAATTTATCTTGAATGTAAACAGAATTAGTTCTGCTTTTTAGAGGGAGAATTATGACTAATGGTGCAGGTGATAGAGACAGGATTTTACCTTTTGTGTAAGAGAGGAAGGGACAGAAACTTGAGGAATAGCTCAGTGTGTCGGGGGTTAGAAAGCAAAGCGATAAGGTGAGGGAAAGAAAAGTAGAGTGAGAACCAGGGGAATGTAGTGTCACATGCAAGGAAAGAAGGATTGTCACCGATATCAAATGCCACATTGAGTTCAAGAGCAATGAGGATTGAGAAGCCTTGAAAGGGCTATGGAACCGGAAAAGACCAATACCTAATCAATGTTACTAAATCTCCTAGGGATCTTTTATTTGTTTTGAATTGATGTTCATTAATCAATAATGTATATATTAAAGTATTACCAGCATTTAATAAAAATGAGCCAATGTATATGACACATTTAATCATTATGTATACTCTCATTTATAAATATATAAGTAGATATAACATCTATTTATATATACATATACATATATATATTTAATCCAGGCATGAAAGTGGAGCTCATGCCGGGTATTTCAGTAGAGGGATTTAATATGAGGAATGAATTCAACAGTCCTAGAAGATGACACCGAAATTAGAAGGCTCTTCACCCCCAGGACTACAATGACCTAAGAATAAAGTGAGGTTATGCTAAGTCAGGAGGTGGCCCCAGCCAGAGGTGAAATTAGGAAGAGAGGAAAGGACTGCTGAGAACCTTCCCTGAGGGGACAATATCCTGGCTTCTCCCCTATTCCTACCTCAGTCTCCAATCTGTGCCCCTCATTGGCCAAGTCACACAAAAGCCAATAGGCAAAAAGCCTAGTTCCCAGAAGCCAGCTGTCTTGGACATAGGGCAGAAGAGAAGAGGGGAAGGGGACTGGAAATGTTTAATAGGATATGTATATGGATAGACATGAGGCTGAGAGGCACCATTTTTGATGGACTAAAATATTTACAAAAACACTTAAAATACATATGTATTTCTTTTTCTTTCATAACCAGGTGGGTAGAATCTTGTCTTTCTCTGATAGCAGAACCATAGAGTAGAAAATATGAGAGTTATTTTCAACTGTTTGATTTTAGTGCATCATAAAAATACTTCAGTTGTGTTTAATGCACTTTGCTGCAGTGCTTTCCACATGAAATATTCACATAATGAATCAGAATCCAGACAGTCTTACTGAAAATGCCTGTAGTACTTATGGATTTAGAATTTAAGATTTTGCTTCATAAGAAGCTTCAAAATTAATTTTCTGAGCATAACAATTTTTTTCAATGTATAATACACTTTCTGTAGAGGACATAAAAGGTTTATAAGATTTAATATTCTACAATAATTTCCTTTGTGGAAGAGTTATAATTATCTCTAAAACATGTTATATATCTACCCAGTGTTACTACATATTTCTCTTACTGAAATAGGGTTATTAAAATGTACTCCTGAATTAATTCCCTACAGGTGCTTTCTCTTTGTATAAAGTCCAGTCTTAAATATTAATGGACGTGCAATGCGTAAAAATTAGGATTTTTTATTGTTCTAATTGCCTTGTGTCTTTTTTCCAATCTTGCTCCACATTTAGGTCACAGAACAATTAGCTATAATGGTCATTTTTTAGGAAAAAAAAGAAAATATTACTCATAAAGTGGATCAACTTTTCTTCTTGACATGAATCGCGGGTTTGAATTAAACATAGCTGAGAGCTCAGGTTTCCATTTAAAAAATGAATTTTTTTATTGCAGACGTCTGGAACAGAACTCAATCAAGGTCATCCCTCCTGGAGCTTTCTCACCGTATAAAAAGCTTAGAAGAATGTGAGTGAAAAATGTTCTGGAATATGTGTAATTTTTAAAATTTTACGGGTCATGACTGTGCAAAGACATCCATCTAAGTATGAATATTTAGGTGTTAGCTTAAATATTAAGTGATGGGACTGTTTGATGCTAGTTCTATAGTATGTAATATTAATAGCTAAACTGTGTAATAGTTTAAGGTTCTCTCTAATTTTACATATTGATTCACATGAGTGATTCTCATGGCATCTTTTATAACTAAGAAAACAGTCAATAATTGATTTAAAAGGGTGGTGACGTTTTAAAATGTAGGACACTTTAGACGTTTCATGTTACAAATTATATACATGTATTGATGGGTGCAAAATCAGCATACAAAGGCAATAAATAGCTTTCTCCTGCAGTAAATCTCACTGCCCTTGTATTTAATATAACCTAACCCTATTTCTAATCTCAGCGACCTGAGCAATAATCAGATCTCCGAACTAGCACCAGATGCCTTCCAAGGACTGCGCTCCCTGAATTCACTGTGAGTATTGACCACAGCACTGAAGGAAAGCACACTTAATCGTGGCTCTGTGTTTTCATTTGGATTTTTAAAAATTGCTCCTTTAAGTTTTTGTATTATGAATTATTAATAACATTAATTATGATTAGTCATTAGTGAGTTCCACTGTTTTCATTGAGGAGTGTTACCTGTCACTAAAATCAGTCTGTTATAGCCTAGCCGGTGTGGCTCAGTGGTTGAGCATCAACCTACGAACCAGAAGGTCATTGTTCGATTCTGGTCAGGGCACATGCCTGAGTTGTGTGGTCTTGATCCCCAGTAGGGGGTGAGCAGGAGGCAGCCAATGGATGATTCTCTCTTGTCATTGATGTGTCTATCTTTCTCTCCCTCTCCCTTCCTCTTTGAAATCAATCAATAAGTAAAAAAAAAAAATCAGCCAGTTTTAGGGTATATATTTTAGGACTTGATAATTTTGCTATTTAGAGAGCAAGAGTAAAGAGCCCCCTTTTTATCATTTTTGTTTCTGAAATGAAGGGGAAATGTTTATTTTGTTGTCAATGTTGTATTTATAATCCTGAAGCCGCTAGATCTCTGGGGACAGCGTCAGTCCCCACTAGAAGGATGCTGGCTGGCGTTTTGCAGAGAACAGTGGAAGGTGTCCAGGGAGAGACCCCTCAACTCCCTGCTTTCTCACCTTCAGACTCCCCTGAAAGAGCCAGCTTTAATCTCTAACAGTTCAAAGATAAGAACAGTTTTACAGCTTTTTAATGTCAAAAGGACTTTCAGGGAGATAGCTAAAGTGGTTCTAAAATAAATAGGTAAAGTCTGTCATTCCTTTAAACTTGTAAAAATTTTCAGAAGTTCATCAAGTAAAGTAACCTTTATTTCAGATTCTAACTGTAATGTTTGGAAGCGAAGGCTTGTATGTATTTTTAATGAGTTGATGCTTAGAGAATGGTTCCTACTGATGTAAATTACTGCAGAGCTCTATGAATTTCAGAAGTCCTTGGGAGCCAGTGAGAATTCCATGATATAAATGTGCAAGACCCAGATACACACCAGGGTTTATATAACAACTACACGCCCTTGCACCAAGGGGAGAACGAGACAGATGCGCTCGCCTGGGCACGTGGGTGTTCAGATTGCTCTGCTCAGAAAACTACATATTTCTTTTAAAAAAGAAAATAAGAAACTATCACTTCAGCAGTGTCTGCTTAGGTTCATTGTTTGTTTGGGGTGTTTATTTGTTCGTTTTACTCCAGAAAGTCCAAGGCTAGGGAAACAATTGTTGGCAGAAGATGTAAAGTGTAGCCCTGTATTGCCCTCAAGGTGGGCTGTCAGATTCTAAAATACCAAAGTTTAATGTAAAACACAGTTAAATCACCCAGATTGTCCATAAAGTACTGTGCGTGCTATTCTGGACAATAATACTGTCCAAAGTAAATTCAGCCAAAAGGGCAGAACAGAAGTCAAGTCCATATACCAATTCCTGGTCCTTCAAGTGTCTGTGCCTCAAAGGTAGTCAGTAAATGTCAAGAGACGTGGAGAATTCTTACTAAGTCCCCTGTGCTTCAGCTGTTCTGTCTCTAAGGTGGGGGCAAGATTACTCCCCTGCTGGTTTTGTTAAAGCACAAAGAGAAGAATTCAAGAGATACCAGACATGGCCTTGACAGATTCTTCTGATTCTTATCAATTTGTATGTTTCTGGATTTTAATTATCCCAGAGAATTTGTAAACCCCAAATCCTCAAGCTATAGTTTTCCTCTTTTCCCATTTCTTTAATTAACCCTTTGCAAAAGATTGTAGTTCACTTATTGTAATTACGTCTCTTCCCTAAGTAGCTCCCCAGTTCCACGGAGGTCTGCAGTGAAGGGCTGTTGTATTTTGATTCTAATTTCTGTATTCACACTTCCTACAGTCTTGCCTTGGAGCCCTGTTAACTCTCCTGCTTGGGACCATGCATTTTACTCCAGGTTTTCAAGGGAAATGAAAATGGGAGTAACCTCTGCTTTCTCTTTACTGTCTTTAAACTTGCTGAGTGTTTTACTCAGATATACATTGTTTTTAATTTATAAGTATAGCTCTCTACCGTATATTTAGATAATGAAACCTGCCCATAGCACCTTTTACATGATAGCCATCTTAATAGGTTTCTGGTTTGGATATTTTTGTCTTGAGTAGGAGATCTAACTGGACAGGTGAATTCAAAGCTTGGGCACCAGTGCTGCTGCATCCTAGTACCTAGATAGTGACCTACTATCCTAGAGTGGAAACTCCAATGGTAAAACTAAGTTTAGAATTCCTAGCCTTCCTTCTAGCAGCAGGTGCAGAAGCTGCATTAAGATGTTCCTATTGTTCCAAAGAACTATAGAAACTTCTCCATCAGCATAATTGTGCACTGTATATAGAGTGCTGGATATAAGTCATATGTAAGAAAACTGTCATTCTTGGTCTTTGGATGGTATTATGCAAATCCCTCATGTATTTATATTCTTTTCAGTAGAATTCATTTTTACCTTTTAATTTCTTTCTTTTAAAGATATATTTTATTGATTTTTTTACAGAGAGGAAGGGAAAGGGATAGAGAGTTAGACACATCGATGAGAGAGCAACATCGATCAGCTGCCTCCTGCACACTCCCTACTGGGTATGTGCCCACAACCAAGGTACAGGCCCATGACTGGAATCGAACCTGGGACCCTTGAGTCTGGAGGGCGATGCTGTATCCACTGAGCCAAACCGGTCAGGGCACCTTTTAATTTCTTTTTAACATTTGTTTCCTTCTTATGAGCACAGCACACATTCTCACTGACCTTCTTGCACTTGATGTCTTTATGTGATGACACATCTTTCCCTCATTTTTATAGATTTTTATATCTTTGCTTCTTTTTCTTTTTTATCATGTCGATCTTATTGTATGTAAGAAAAACATACCCAGCACTAGTACTGCTATCCCTTTTTGTGGAGAAATCCTATTACCATCCTATGTAGTATTTCTTTAGTATAATAGTTTCAAGATTTTGGGTTCATATACCCAATGCCACCTACACAGATAGATTTCCTCCATCCTTGTCTGATCCCCTTTTTCTCCCATGAACCCAAATTGTCTCATTTACCAAAAAAAAATTATCTTTTTAAACATAATATATATAAAAAAACAACAATGATTTTCTGTAAAAATAAGTTTCACAGTGCAAACATGACATACCTCCCAGCTGTTCCTCCTTTCATTTGAGCCTACCAAATAAACAACCTACCAAATTATTTGCCCATAAATTCTTATGTGGGCCTCCCACTACTTCTATGCATTATATTTCCTCCTTTAATTCTCAATCGGTTTAAAATATGAAACTCCTTCAGTATTCAAATTATTCTTTTGGGTTGCTCTTTGAAGCCATACCTTATTCATCTTGGTCATATCGGTGCCTGGGACATGCACAAATGATAAACATTGAAAAAATAAGAGTTGGAGTTAGTGTAATTGGGCACCAGGCTTAGAACCTAGCAATGTTCCTGGCACATAGTAAGTGTACAATATCGATTGTTGAATGAACTGATTGAACAGTAATGAGTTGAGTATCGTGAATTGATGCTGTAATCTGCTCCTTTGTGCTTCTAAAGGCTCCTCTTTTCTTATTCTTGATCTTAAAACATTTTTGTTTATTCTTACTTTACCCATTCTTTGTTCCCTTACCTCCTTGACCCTGACAATACAGGTTTATCTCTTTTCTTCTTTGACTATTAAAATTATTTCTTCTGTTATTGATTTACCTTTAAAATATCTATTTTAAAGAAATAGAGAAACAGCGATCAGACTATTAATCCCCAGAGGGAAAGTAGGGGAGGGTGGGGGTAAGGGGAAGAGATCAACCAAAGGACTTGTATGCATGCATATAAGCCAAACCAATGGACATGGACAACAGGGGGATGAGAGCATGAGTGGGGGGGGGGGGGGGCGGGGGGCGGGGGAAGATGGGGGTTAATGGAGGGGATGAGGACACATTTGTAATTCCTTAACTAATAAAGAATTTAAAGATAAAAAAAATCTATATTCTACAGAAATGAATTTTTTGTTTTGCTATGTAACTTTACCATGGTAATCTATACAGATTTAAAGTCTCTTTACACAATATAGCACCCAGCTTTATTTATTCCCTTGAGAATTTTCTTCAATTTTATAATATATCCCACCTCTCACTGGCATCTTAAAAGGGAAGCTTTATCCTCACTCTTATTTATCTCTCTTGTATTGTTATTTTCCTCCTTTTCAAACAGAAATCATGTACTGCTGTCTACCAGACATATTAATTATTTAGACTCTCATTTAAACTTTTTCTTCATGTATTATGGCATCCACTTATTTAATTTTCAAAATATTTTTTTGTTTGAAAGGGTTTTTAAATCTGTATTTTTATATTTATTTTTATTATTGAAAGTATTATATGTCCCCTTCCCACCACCCCCCATTTACCCTCTCCACCCCCTGAGCCCCTCCCACTCAGAGCATTCACCACACTATTGTCTTGTCAAAACCACTTCTTTTAGAATTATTTTTTTCTCAGTTTCAAAAGTAATATATGTTCATTGTAGAAAATGTAAAAATTAAGGAAAAACTGTATATATGCAAATTCAAGTCAACTCTGGATGGCAAATCATTTGCCATCCAAAGATATTTCACATTTTTTTCTGTGTCTGTGTTTTTGTTTAATTTTTAAACAAAATTAAAATTATATGGTAATTTATTCCTTTATATTATGCTTTGAAAAAAAATTATTAAGTTTATTGGGTTGACATTGGTAATAAACTAATACAGGTTTGAAGTGTACAATTGTATGATACATCACCTCTATACTGCATTATGTGATCACCACCCAAAGTCAAATCTCCTGCCATCACCATATATTTGACCCACTTTACTCTTTACTACCTCCCTCTCACCCCCCTCTTTCTCTTGTAACCACCATGCTGTTGTTGTTGTCTATGAATTTTTGTTTATTTGTTTTTCTTAGTTGTTAATTTCTTGCTTTCAAATTAATATCCCAAATATGAGTGAAATCATATGGTTTTTGACCATTTCATCTAAATTACTTCACTTAGCATGATATTCTCCAAGATCCATCCATATTGCCACGAATGGCAGTTTCATCTTTTCTTTTGGCTGAGTAGTATCCTATTGTATATATGTACCACATCTTCTTTATCTAATCATCTAGTGAAGGACACTCCAGTTGTTTCCATATCTTGGCCACCATGAATAATGCTGTAATGACCACCAGGATACATATTATCTTTACAAATAAATGTAAAAAATATGACAAGTTAGCAGTGCACAGTTTTATGTAAAGGCAATAAAATTATGAACTGTGTTCATTTTGTTAATTTTTCTTGTTTTCCAAACTTTCTATCATAAGCATCATCTCTGTATAGAGTGCTTACTAACTTCCTATTTTCCTGAATACAGATGTGTTGGACTAACTTGTTATACTGGTTTGGTGCCTGACATTTTTTTTTTTTTCATTTAAATTATGTTTTCCAGTGTTCTCTATGGAAATAAAATCACAGAACTTCCAAAGAGTTTATTTGAAGGATTATTTTCCTTACAGCTACTGTAAGTATTTGATTGTTGCTGATCTGTCGAACCAAATGTTATATTTTGTCCGTGTGCCATTTCATATTTTCATGGGGGCTTCAGAAAAATTCGACCCAAAATGACATAGTTTAATAAAATGGAAAAGATTCGCCTAGTGCTAACATTGTTGACAGTTATTTATTTGAAGACACAACACTTTGAAATTGTCCCCAAACCTTTCTCTCCACACTTGTCACGAATATATGCATTTTATCTGCTCTGTCATTTAATGCTTTTACAATCCCTGCCCTTAGTGAAGCTTCTCTGGTTTGATTTAACAATAGTTGGAAAGGAGAAAAACATGGTGATATGTTTGTCCACCTTTGTGCAAAGAATCTGCAAGAGTGACAAGCTGGAATAACACCCCCCAGCACAAGGATGGTGTGCAGGAGGCCAGAACACAGCAGTGCACTCAAACTAATCTTTAGTAAGAGATTTCTCTGTAAATCCCTGGATTATATCTTTAAAGACCAGTCTGCTTAGACAACAGCTAGGTCTCTTTTGCCTCAAAAAAACAATTTACCGTACACATTTATAAGACTAAGACTTGACCCCAGGTATTTTAATTAATGCTTATATGAAAAGGAAATTAGAAAAAAATATGCTGTTATTAAGATCGGCCCAGCTACTGTGGATGCAAAGATGAGTGTGATGTAATTACTTCTCTCAACTAGTTCATAGTCAGTCTACTTTACAGTTTTCAAATGTATGATTTTACTTATATGTGGAATCTAAAGATCAATATAAACAAACAAACAAAACAGAAACAGGCTCATAGATGCAGGAAACAGAGTGATGGTTGACAAAGAAGAGGGGGTTAGGGGGCTGGGTGAAAAAAGTGAAGGATTGAGAAGCACAGATTGGTAGTTATAAAATAGTCATGGGGATGTAAAGCACAGCATAGGAAATACAGTCAATATTATAGTAATAATTATGTATGGTGCTAGGTAAAATACTAGAAATAGGGGAAACATTTTATAAAGTATATGATTGTCTAACCACTATGCTGTACACCTCAAACTGATATAAAATGATATTAAATGTAAATAGTAATTGAAAAAAATTATAATAGAAAAGTCAATATCATAAAAATAATTTAATTTGGAATATTATTTTTTTCATAGAGCAGCTGAATGGACTAGTGTTTTATGGCTTTTATTTTTTTCTTTATGGTGTCCTTGACCGCAGAGGTTGGGTCTCACCCACCTTCAGCTACTGCAAAGCTCTACATCTAGAGAATACATGTAATCACTTTTTATTGAATAAATGTATAGGTACCACTAGATTTGGGCTTTCTTTCAACTGTGTGAGCCTTGCTTTATCTGAAACAACTCCAAATCTTCAACCTGTGGTGCCTAAAGTATTACAGTTTAAATGTCCATGTTGAGATGAAAAGAAATGTATTTCTCATTGGTTTTTTTTCTCAAGGACGGAAACTTGAAGGTAAGTCCAGGAGGTGCTACCCTTTAACCCTACGACTATTTGATCAAACAGATTATTGAACGCCAACAAGATAAACTGCCTGCGGGTAGATGCTTTCCAGGACCTGCACAACCTGAACCTTCTCTCCTTGTACGACAACAAGCTCCAGACCATCGCCAAGGGGACCTTCTCGCCTCTCCGGGCCATTCAGACCATGTATGTACATGCTGTTCGAATCATATTTGATGACTGTTGTTTTCACTCAAAACTGGGGAGTTGAGTTCCTTGCAAGTCGTGCATAAAAGTGTTCTGTGTGTGTTTCCGAAAGGCATTTGGCCCAAAACCCCTTTATTTGTGACTGCCATCTCAAGTGGCTCGCGGATTATCTCCACACCAACCCGATCGAGACCAGTGGTGCCCGCTGCACCAGCCCCCGGCGTCTGGCAAACAAAAGAATTGGACAGATCAAAAGCAAGAAATTCCGTTGTTCAGGTAATTTCTGCCCACATGTGGCATTCCCCCTGTGTCACCAACTACAGTGGTTACAGGACAGCTAGAGACAGTTGGCCTTTGCCTGAATTACCAAATCTTGTAGAATCATATGTCTTTGTCTTTTATACATATAGAAAAAAATAAAGAGAACCGTAAACACAATTCAGATAGCCCTCCTAGGTGTACCATTTTTTTAACAGTAGATGAAGCAGAAGAAACAGGCTGCTGGCCAAGAAAAAAAGATGCATGGCTACTTCATACTGTATTCCCAGGGTCCAAACTGAACAGGGGCCTCTTAGTTAACTCTCAGTGCCTTTGAAGCCTGTTAAGTCTCATGTTTGTTGTAGTATTCTCCTCCAGGAACCCCAGGTAATTAATCATGTTTTCATTGCTTCAGGAAATGAACTGAGACTTGGTCACATGATTTGCTTAGGCTCAGAAGTAGGGGGAAATCTCCTGATCCCTTACTGGATACTGACTTCTCATTTTGCATTCTCTTATTTTGAATAGGACTGTAAGGATACATTTTTTTCCCCAAAAGGCCACCTGTTAACATGTTAGGAATATTACATTTATTGATAGAAAGCTAACTCTAGATGCATTGTATTACTATTAAACAGAAAGCTTACTGCATTGAAACTTAGTATTTGCTTTGGTCTAATCTGTTCTATTTTCTTATGATAAAATATATTCTGTATGTTTTGAGTAGTATGCTACCCTACCACTCCAGGCATAGTTCACATCCGGCAAGTTAATTCATACTAAAAAGCTAATGTCCAGACAAAGCTGGTTGTTGCCCGAGGTTCTAGATGTGTTTACTACTCACTGTACATTATTATACTTCAGCCCCTGCTGAAAATGTACATGTTCACTTAATTACCTGTAGTAACTTTAGTCCATTCTTAATCTAATATAACTCATATCTCTGCTTGCTGACATTCAGGTACGTCTTCTATTTTTTGTCTCTTTTTTTATTTAGCTAAAGAGCAGTATTTCATTCCAGGTAGGTTTTGCTCGGTAGTAGGACTAACTACAGACACCCTTTCCTCACCTTAAAAAAATATAGCTTCTAAAACTTTGATATGCATGCTTTTGAAAGTACAGTGGGTGCTGTGTAGATAGATGTACTCTGCATAGATCACTTATAGCCGTTTCCCGAACACCTGACCTTTGCATGCAGCGTCTGATGTTAAATATAGATATTATTAAGCACCCACCTTGTTTCTCCCTCTCTCTCACTTTGGCACATTACCTAAAATTTCTCACAGTAGCTAAAATGTTTGAACCTATGGCCTTCTACTTAAACCATTTTCTCTCCTTACGTTGTATACCTGATCTTTCTACCTGTTTTTAAAATGTAGCTTGTTGAGCTGGTTTTAAAGACAGTGACTCCCTGTTGTCAAAGAGCTAGTTCCACATGAAATCAGCCACCAGCACACAGAATGGTGGTTTTCAGTCACGGGATTTACTTTTTTATAGTTCTCATACTAGAAAACTGTGACTTTTTGCTTGACTTGGCTTGCTGTTGCTTCACTTTTTATGCAAAAACAGCAGCTTCCTGCTGATGGAAATGCACTTGCACTTGCTCTGTGACTTCACATCCTTGCACACCTGGGGTCACAGTTTAACTTCACAAAAGCAACATTGACGTGCATCCTGACAGCATGAAAGTTCACGGGCACTGAGTGCCTTGAATAATTTAGGCTGATGAATGAATGATGAAATGTGCTTAGAAAAGTAATTGAAATGTTTTACCACTACAATCCTAACAGGATCAAGGCTGAGGATTCTAGAACTAGCTCTTTGAAATATGTTCTTATTTTTTCCTTGCCTGCCAATTGTGTAAAATGCCTCTTGACTTGTGTTTTTTTTTTTAAATGCCTATATTTAAAAAATATATGTTAAGTAGTGATTGATTAGCCACATTCACCATCTCCTGGGTATATTCTAGACTATAATGTATTTTAACATCTATAAATAAAAATATATTCTGTAGTGTTAGTGTGAAAAACCATATCTATTTTTTTAAAGAATTCTGGGTTTGGTCTCTCTTTTAAGGAAATAGGTATTGCTTGCCATTATTGAATTATTATTATTTGAATAATGTTATGCATTTAACAGATTTTCTTTTATTACTTATTTTGAGCTTGAATGATCAAATAATATTTTATATATTACATTGGCTGAATAAAAAGTAACATGTTGAACAGCGGTTGATTGGCTTTCACTGGCAATCTTTAAAATTCATTATTTTTACCTAATTTTTAAGAAGAAAGTTATCTGAAAGCTATTACTTACCCCCAAAAAAGTTATATTCTAAACACTAGAACACCTCTGGGATAAAACATTTATATTATTTAAATCCCCAAATTTTAGTGGTTAATATCATTGTTGCCAAATTATTTAATCTATTATATTTAATATACTTCATTACTTACTATACACTAAATATATTTGAAATATTTATTTTATTACATAATATATTATTTTAACCCACGCATATGCCCTTGACCAGAATCAAACCTGGGACCCTTCAGTCCGCAGGCCAACACTCTATCTACTGAAACAAACCAGCAAGGGTTATTTTAAATATAATTCATTAAGAATTTAGAAATATTTTAGTTCAGCAAATAAAGAACAAGTCAGGTTGTTTCAGTAAATTCTGATACATTTTGGCCCTTTATTGACAGCAGCCAAAATAGGTTTTGGAAAATACCTTCTCTATCAGATATCACAGCTTAATTGGCACTATCTGATCATTTAATTTACATTATTTAAAATAATAATTATAGAATTCAGGACTCAGAAGAATACTTTTTCCCAGCTTTAAATTAAAATTTGAGCCATGAAATAAGAATCACTGTCATTGTATTGAAGGTGGATTATTTTTAATGTAAGATACCTATTGTACCTTTATTTAGACTTTGTTCCCAGTGTTTTCTGATTTTAATTTTAAAACAAAAGCTTCAACCACGGTACAACAGATTTTCAATAAATGTCATGGCATTAATTTCCAAATGTAATGAAACTATTATATTCAGCTTTGAAAACATTTACCTGATTTCCTTTTAACTGAATGACATTATTTATAAATTGGAAAGGTCATTCAAAAGCATGTTAGCCACAACCTAAGGATTAATGCAAACGTGCTCATGATAGTCCTTGCAGCTCTCCATGATTCGTTTCTCACTTAATTTCACATGTTTACTTGCCTACCACTGTTCTGTCTGGCATTCTAGATATTACCGTGATAACTCAAGAGAAAATCTATCTTGCAGAGAATTCATCTTTTCAAGGAATTGACAAGGGCTTAATTTGTATGCATCTTGGATGCCATTGCTTTTCCTGCAAGACCCCTTTGCTTCAAAAAATTATTAGGAAAGTTTACAAAGCACGTGCCATTCCCTGATCATTGCCACAGTAAGAAAAGAAGAAAGAGACCTTAGTTAGTTGTGTATATATATATATATATATGCCTATTAATCTTAACGGGGATTACTGTCTTTCTTTCCTTCTTGGTGATTTTTAATTTTGCAGGAGTTCACCATTTGGGCTGTAAGTAAAAGTGCCTGATCTGAAACATACTATCCTCCCTTTTCAATCCTGACGTACCTTCTAGTCTCGGTCCTTTGTGCCCTTTTTTTTTCCCCCAAGAAGAAACCACAGATCTTTTGAGCTTCTCTGTTGTCCCTGTAGCTCACCTCCAACTTCTTCCTGGATGTTGATCCCGAAAGCGGTTGTTTCCATTCTGCAGCTCTGAGGGACGGGGGAGGGTCCCTTCCGTGTAGCCCCTTTGTGTTTCCAGGAACCCTCGGTAGTAAGGCTCTCACTGCGGTCATAGGCCTTCTGTGGGACGAATGCATGTCACGTACACAGTACAACATCTCCAGAACGTCTGTAGCTTCTCTCCTGCTTCCCTTCACCTTTCCTCTCCGTCTTACCCCTGGCCTAGTGGATGGTGTAGTGATGATGTAGCGAGATTTTCTGTTGTGCTTGATCTAACCATGTGCTTGCCAGGTCTGAGGAAAACATGGTTCCGTCAAGCACCATGGAACGTCACGCAGCTTTCTACAGCATGGCGAGCTGCTGAGGCTTAATTCAGGACTGACTGGTCTCTCTTGATACAATCAAAATGCAAAAAAAAAAAAAAAAAAAAAAAAAAAAATGAGGGCCTTGGAGGCATTTCTGAAGAGTAAGTGAGAGGGAGAGAATAATCAAAGACCATAGAAAAATTAAAAACCTGAGTACATCTATTTGCCTGGAAAGCCCTAATTTTAAAATGATATATAGGGAGATGTGGATGACTGGATACCGTTTAAATTCTTGACACTGAGAAAAAAAAAATCTGTTTAACAACGAAATAGCCATTGTGTGCTTAGCTGTCATATAGGCTAGAATGGCTCAGAACCGGATCAGCAGACAGTACCGCTGTGAAAAGCTCATCTCTATTAATGTTTTCCTGTCCTGTGAATCTGGTTACTCTTTTTTCCAGCAAATTCCAAGCCCTTGTTTTAACCCTCTCCTGACATCCATTGACCAAATTCCCCCAAGTTGTCTCCCTGCTGCATAATCTATAGTTATCTTCCTTTTTTCCTCCTATAAATTAGCAAGCATTCTGAACTTTAGACTCAGTATCTCCTTTATTTTATTTTTCTTGGCTTGACTCCTCAATAGGTACAGAAGACTATCGATCAAAATTAAGTGGGGACTGCTTTGCAGACTTGGCTTGCCCTGAAAAGTGCCGCTGCGAAGGGACCACAGTCGATTGCTCCAATCAAAAGCTCGCCAAAATCCCAGACCACATTCCCCAGTATACTGCGGAACTGTAAGTCCCTCTCCCCCCAGAATCCCGGACCATATTCCCAGTACACATTCCCTAGTACATATCCCCACTATACATTCCCAGTACACATTCCCTAGCACACATCCCCCAGTACACATTTCCCAGTACACATTCCCTAGCACACATCCCCCAGTACACATCCCCCAGTACACATCCCCCAGTACATATCCCCAGTACACATTCCCAGTACACATTCCCCAGTACACATCCCCCAGTACACATTTCCCAGTACACATCCCACAGTACATATCCCCAGTACATATTCCCTAGCACACATCCCTCAGTACACATCCCCCAGTACATATCCCCAGTACACATTCTCAGTACACATTCCCTAGCACACATCCCCCAGTACACATCCCCCAGTACACATTTCCCAGTACACATTCCCTAGCACACATCCCCCAGTACACATCCCCCAGTACACATCCCCCAGTACATATCCCCAGTACACATTCTCAGTACACATTCCCCAGTACACATCCCCCAGTACACATTTCCCAGTACACATCCCACAGTACATATCCCCAATACATATTCCCTAGCACACATCCCCCAGTACACATCCCCCAGTACATATCCCCAGTACACATTCTCAGTACACATCCCCTAGCACACATCCCCCAGTACACATCCCCCAGTACACATTCCCAGTACACATTCCCCAGTACATATCCCCAGTACATATTCCCAGTACACATTCCCTAGCACACATCCCCCAGTACACATCCCCCAGTACACATCCCCCAGTACACATTCCCAGTACATATTCCCTAGCACACATTCCCCCAGTACACATCCCCCAGTACACATCCCCCAGTACACATCCCCCAGTACACATTCCCCAGTACACATCCCCCAGTACACATCCCCCAGTACACATTCCCAGTACACATTCCTAGTACACATTCCCTAGTACATATCCCCACTATACATTCCCAGTACACATTCCCTAGCACACATCCCCCAGTACACATTTCCCAGTACACATTCCCTAGCACACATCCCCCAGTACACATCCCCCAGTACACATCCCCCAGTACATATCCCCAGTACACATTCTCAGTACACATTCCCCAGTACACATCCCCCAGTACACATTTCCCAGTACACATCCCACAGTACATATCCCCAGTACATATTCCCTAGCACACATCCCCCAGTACACATCCCCCAGTACATATCCCCAGTACACATTCTCAGTACACATTCCCTAGCACACATCCCCCAGTACACATTTCCCAGTACACATTCCCTAGCACACATCCCCCAGTACACATCCCCCAGTACACATCCCCCAGTACACATTCCCTAGTACATATCCCCAGTACACATTCCCAGTACACATTCCCTAGCACACATCCCCCAGTACACATCCCCCAGTACATATCCCCGGTACACATTCCCAGTACATATTCCCTAGCACACATCCCCCATTACACATCCCCCAGTACATATCCCCAGTACACATTCCCAGTACATATTCCCTAGCACACATTCCCCAGTACACATTCCCAGTACACATTCCCCAGTACACATTCCCCAGTACACATTCCTAGTACACATTCCCCAGTACACATTCCCCAGTACACATTCCTAGTACACATTCCCAGTACACATTCCCCAGTACACATTCCCCAGTACACATTCCCCAGTACACATTCCCAGTACACATTCCCCAGTACACATTCCCAGTACACATCCCCCAGTTCACATTCCCCAGTACACATTCCCAGTACACATTCCCCAGTACACATTCCCCAGTACACACTCCCAGTACACATTCCCCAGTACACATTCCCAGTACACATCCCCCAGTTCACATTCCCCAGTACACATTCCCAGTACACATTCCCCCGTACACATTCCCCAGTACACATTCCTAGTACACATTCCCAGTACACATTCCCCAGTACACATTCCCCAGTACACATTCCCAGTACACATTCCCCAGTACACATTCCCAGTACACATCCCCCAGTTCACATTCCCCAGTACACATTCCCCAGTACACATCCCCCAGTACACATTCCCCAGTACTCATTCTCCAGTACACTGCAGAACTGTAAGTCCCTCTTCCTACAGAATCTAGTTTGGGATGGAGGAAACAAAAGCATCAAAATATTAGGATTTTTGTCTTACCCTTTTATTCTCAATAATTACATTGATCTTTGTTAATACACATTTGCATAACTCTTCTATGTACAAGAATATACATGTGTATATATATATATATGTGTGTGTGTGTGTATAATATATACATATATATTAAATAAATCCTCATATGAGGATGTGTATTGATTTTAGAGAGAGATTATGTGAGAAAGAGAAGGAGAGAAATATTGGTGTGTGTGAGAAACATCCATCAGTTGCCTCCTATATGAGCCCTGCCTGGGAATCTAACCCACGACCTTTTGGTGTATGGGCTGATGCTCCGACTAACTGAGCCACCCAGCCAGGGCCAAGAATATTTTAGAGGCTATCTTACTTCTTCTTTCTGGCCCAAGATACAATTGCAGAAATTAATTTATCTCTCAAAAATCCAGCTAGTACCTAGTAATACTACTAATAATAGCATTCACTTGATATTTAATTCTTAGGCATTATTTATGCCCAAACCCATTTCTATACAATGCATAGATGTTTTGCATATTTAGTCTTTACAGCAACCATGTAAAGTAGTTTGAGAATCACCATTTTGACTGTTCATTATGAATTGAAAAAGATAGTCTTTTTTATCTGTTTTATTATCTCACTGACTCGTGGCTGGAAGAACTTGGTGATTATCAGGTATTAAAACACAAAGCGTAGCATAGCAGGAAAAGCTGAAAAGACAGAGTGTGATCAGATTTATATTTATCACCCTAACAAAGGGCCTGGCACACGCTTGCCGCTAAAATATGTTCCTTGAACCATTTATAGGTACTATGCCGTGGACGTTTTGCCTTTACTGACTTTTCTAAGTGAGACGTTTAATGTTAGTGTTCTAAAAAATCCAAGAAAAGCCTGGTGAAATCTCATCATTTTCTTAACATCGTAGCCATGTTGATATGTAGCACCATCTGGTATCTGTCATTATCCACTTTGCATAGTTGCTTGTCTTTCTGTGCATGCATAGTCCTTTTGTCTTCAATGAGATTACGGCCCCTCGATGGCAGGGACTGTGTTTTATAGTTGATCTCCCGCTGTGTCTAAACTCGTGCCTGTTACTTAATGAATTTTGAACAATTGGAATAATTAAAAATAATGTAACGCTTTCAGAGAGATGACAGAAACTAGCTCCCTGTGATGATAGTGGTGCTTTTTTATTCCTGTTAGTTCATTAAGCTATTCCAGAGCTCCAGGACTTCTAGAAAGGCATGGAGAGCATGCAGCCAAAGCCCTGAACTCTATTTTTACAGTCATGTTGGGAGCTATGCTTATTGCCTATAATACTACAAACAGTAAATCCAAATCCCATCTTCCAGCAGGAGAATGCGTTAAGGAGGCTTACTTGTCAATCAAGAATTGTATTAGATGCAGGGCCGTGTGTGTTAAGAAATTAAGAATTTTTTAAAAAATTATACATTTAAAAATTAGCACCTGGAAGAAAATATTTGCAAACCGTATATATTATGATAAAAGACTCCTATCCAGAATGAATAAGGAATTCTTATAACTTAACCATAAAATTAAGAAATAAAAATGTACATTATCCAATTGAAAAGTAGGCAATTACTTGTATGGACATTTATCCAAAGAAGATATACAAATGGGCAATAAGCACATGAAAAAATGTTCAGTATCAGTAGGCATTAGGGAAATACAAATCAAAACCACAAAGCGGTAACACTTCCCACCCACTAGAATGGCCATTAAAGCAAACACACAAAAATAACAATCATAAGTGAGAGAAATAGGACCCCTCATACATTGCTGCTGGGACTGTAAAATAATGCAGGCCCTTTGGGAAAAAAGTTTGGCTATTTCTCAGTTAGACCTCCATTTCCCATGTGACCCAGCAATTTCACACAGATGTAAGGACTGAAAATATACGTCCACGAAAAAACTTGTGCACTGATGTTCAGAGCAGCACTATTTATAATAATCTAAAAGTGAAAGCAGACCAAATCTTCTTCCACTGATAAATGACTAAACAATGTGGTATGTCCATACTATGGAGGAGTATTTGGCCACAAAAAGGAATGAAGTATTGATAAATGCAAAACTAGTTTGAACCTTGTTAAACATTATTCAAAGTAAAAACAAACAAAAAAACACAGAAGGCCACATTTAATATGATTCCATTTATATGAAATGACCAGAATGGGAAAATCCATGGAAACAGAAAGTAAATTAGTGGTGGCCAAGAAGTGAGGTAGCATGGGAACAAATTGGGAGTGATTGCTAATAGGTATGGGACTTCTTTTTTGGGTGATGAATATATTCTGGAATTAAGTAGCAAAAAATGGTGTCACAATTTTGTGAATATACTAAGCACCACTGAATTATATACTTCAAAAGGGTGAACTTCATGGCATATACATTATATAACACTAAAGCCTTTAAATAAATAAAAATTATGGAGTAAGTTATTAGGAAAAAAAAAAATGGCCTAAAATGCTTTCTTAGGGAGGGGACAGTAAAAATAAAGAGCGTTTAATCTGATTTTCAATTATTGGCTTTCTCTGCTATGTGCTTCTTATATATTTTATTTTGATCATTAAAATTTGAGTGAAATGGGGAAAAATTCAGTACAGTTGGCCTTGCATAGTCTTGGGTTCTACATCTGCAAATTTAAACAACCTTAGGTCAAAAATATTTTTTAAAGTTGCTTTGCTGCTGACATGTCCTACTCAAACATAATTAGGCTTACAGCGGTGGCCTGTTCCAAAGGTGAAACATCTACAGGCATATTTCCTTGTTATTATTCTCTAAACAAGACAACATGACATCTGTTTACATAGCATCCACATTGTATAAGGTATAAGTAATGGAGAGATGATTTAATGTAATCAGGAAGATGTGTGTAAGTTATGTACTGATACCTCATCATTTTATGTAAGGGCCTTGAGTACCCGTGGATTTTGGTATGTGTGGCGGTCCTGGAACCAATCCTCCATGGATATTGAGGGCGCGAGGGCATTTCCCACAGGTCTTCCGTGATATGTGTCCTATAGTTTGCTTCAGGGTCGTGATCAAATAATGGTATCCCTCTGTATGAGAAATAAAACGCAATCCCTTCCTGACCCTTGGTGTTGAAACGTTGCTCTTTCTCTTTCCCTAGGCGTCTCAATAATAATGAATTCACCGTGTTGGAAGCTACAGGAATCTTCAAGAAACTTCCTCAGTTACGTAAAATGTAAGCCGTGCATTAGCCATCTTTGTGAATTTGTTGAGTTTTGTTGTGTTTTTCCGACCCCTTGGCAGTTTTATTTCGATTTCTTTGAAAATTGGAAAATATAAAAAATCCAGAGAAATGTTCCTATAATGACTACCTGTGGCACGAATTGAGGGTAATCTCTGAGAGGAACCAGAGTAATTGGCATTTTTCTGTATATTCCAATGATGCCAACTCCATTTCCCTAGCAGAGCAGTGTCATCTTTCTGTAGCTCAGACAGCTGGTCTGCTGTGGGCCCACAGCAGGAATCCAGCATCTAAGCACATGGTGGGGGCGGGGGAGCAGTCATGTGTTGTAACTTCCTGTGCTATTCCCCAAACCGTGCTGTTATTTCTCTTTCAGCACTTTCATGTCAACTATTTGACTTTTTGCTTCATTAAACTTTCATTAGGAGATAGTCAAAATTAATAATTGCTAAACTGGCTTGATAGCTCATCTGTGTGACTACATATCTACAACTCATATTTCAACATAATTTTCTCAGCTCAGCAGTTTCAGCAACATTCAAAACAGTACTCTACCCCCCTGCGAATGAGGGGAGGGAGCCGCAGGGCAGAGGCCAAGAGTCCATGGAGCACCCTCCTCATATGAGAGAGGGAAGAAGCATTCTTCCATGATAGCCGCAGGGCAGAGGCCAAGAGTCCATGGAGCACCCTCCTCATATGAGAGAGGGAAGAAGCATTCTTCCATGATACATGTAACTGGCCCACGGTCACATAGACTATAAGAGGCAGAGAGGACTAAAACTACTTTTGTGTGCTTGACCCCCGGGTTATATACTGTCTCCCAAAGAGTTTCTACTGGCTTAGTTGTCCTCCTTTGTCTCTGACATGAACTGCTCTTTTTTGTTGTTGTTGTTATTGTTTAGCTATAAGGTTCCCTTCTATACAATATATATTTTTTGAGAAGCTACTCTGGGCAATGTTCTGAGAGGCATAAAATGATACGTAAAAATCACCCTCGTTCTGTGGACATTCCTGGTCTTGGAATGAGCAGTGAGAAAGAGAAAGAGGGAACGTATAGAAAGGTGTTGCCTCAACTGGACATTCTTGCCCTCCGGGCAAACATGGTAGTCTTTCATATCACACAAAATTCTGACAGTGGAGTTGGTTGTTTTGACCCATTTTTACATGAGAAATTTCGCGGGAACAGACTTATATTTGGATATATCTCTGAAGCTATGTAAATGCTGGTATATTTTAGCCCGTCCTCCTTTTTACTCAGTTGCCTTCTTTTAGTCATTAATTCAGGAACACTTCTTAATCAGGAGCATTTCTTTGAAAAGTTCCTCATTAAGTTTTGTGGCAAACAAAGGTTTATTCAACTCAATACCTGACCTCAAGAATTGTATACTCCTAGAGACCCATTCAGACCATGTTGACAATGACCAGGCTGGTATTTTTCACCGTAAACATTACCCCTCAGAACTGTTATGGCTTTGGCTTGGCGGAATCCCAAAGCGGTGTCCCTTCAGAGCCCTGGGCAGGGCAGAGATTGGAGATGGTGGGAGACTGTTCAGTAGGAGAAAATGATCAAACATGTCTCGGTGCCCTCATTGTGAGAAAGAGATTGTGTAAAACCTGTGTTTCAACACTTTTTATTTAGAAACTTTAGCAACAATAAGATTACAGACATTGAAGAGGGAGCTTTCGAAGGAGCATCTGGTGTAAATGAAATACTTCTCACTAGTAATCGTTTGGAAAATGTGCAGCATAAGATGTTCAAGGGATTGGAAAGCCTCAAAACATTGTAAGTATTCTCATCGCGTTGTGATTCTTCTACAGGATTGTACTTCATGGTCATTACAATCCTGGGAGGGGATGGAGATTCCATTCTTCCTCATCACTCCAGCCATAGCACTCTCTCTCTCTCTCTCTCTCTCTCTCTCTCTCTCTCTCTCTCTCTCTCTCTCTCTCTCTCTCTCTCTCTCTCTCTCTCTCCCCCCCACACACACACACATACACACACACACACACACACACACACACACACACGTTGTTTGTGGATACAGATTATCTGTTCCTCTAATACCCTGACTTTAGCATGTTGCCTGCAGAAGAGCAAAAGTGTCTCTCCTGGCTGCGATTCCACAACAAGAAGGTCTTTGCTCTACTCCTTGTGGAGCTTAAATCCTCTGATCAGCCTCAGAACAATGGTTCTTCTTCCTTTTCCTCAAATCCCTCCTTCTAAGACTGTCTTGGACCCAGGTCCCTGGCTTCAGCATCTTCTCCAGCCCCTGGCAGAATATCATTTCACCTGGGGAACCCCTCTGGCAGCCCTGCAAGGTCTTAGTGCAAAAGACACTGACTGGTGTTGGAACTTTTACTACCAATTTCAAAGCAAATGTGCCAAGAGTTACGAGTACTCACTTGCCCCGGGGTTGTGAGCTTGGGGAAAAGAAATTCTGTATGTTTCTAAAGGTTGCTGGCCAAGGAGGATGGAATTGGATTGATTCCTAAGGACAATGCTAGAGTTACTTGGATTTCTACAGAGCACTTGTGTACTTTTTATAATCTCCAAAGTATGTAATTATGTTTGACAAAAGTAGTGGCCTGAACATTGGGAGAGACACAAAGCAAACTCTGAAGACAGCAGGAAACTCTTTGTCACCAAGTTGCAGCCCTAGGCAATGGTAGTGGAGAGGGGCCCCAGCTCCACTGTCTCCCCTAAACCCTCTCCTCTCCCTCAGCCCTCAGAGCCACAACCAGGGCACTGAGGGCCTGGAAGTCTATGGCCTGCTCTTCATCACAGCAGAGAGCTCTCCTCCAGTCAGTGGGGATGTTACTAGCATCCCAATTTCAAATCCTGCTCAACAGCCTCTGCCCAGGGAAGTAGAATTGTGCCCCTTGAGGCACAGCCTGGAACCTAACCATCCGGCAGGACCCAGCTGCCACCTGCTGACCCCTCTCGTGGTTAACTTGGAGCCTCTTCAAGATGTTATGCAAATATTCAAATATCCCTTCAGCCTTTTAGGACAGAGATACTGAGTGTGTAGAAGAAGGCAGAAAAGTTATACCACGGGTGGCTGCATCTACTCCTGCCCCCGCTCCCCACCCCCAGGCTGTCTCAGGTAACTAACTCATCAAAACCCAGATCCTGCAGCAAGCAGAATTCTTCCTTCGGAGACAATAGTTGAGGGACTCCTTGTCATTGGAACCTTCTCCTTGAACGGGCAGTAGGAGGAACAGGAACTGTAACTCCAACTGTATTGGTCTGTCCTGGGCTGCCGTCCTGCATGACAAACCAGACCGGATGACTTAAACAACAGGAATTTGTTTTCTCACAGTTCTGGAAGTCCAAGGTCAAGGTGCTGTGAGGGTTGGTTCCTGGGGAGGGCTCTTTTGTTGGCTTTTAGATTGCCATCTTTTTGCTGTGTTTTTATTGACCTTTCCTTTCTGTCTGGGGGGACAGAGCTCTGTGTCCCTTTCTCTTACAAGGACACCAGTCCTATCCTATTAAGGCCCCACCCATAAGATCTCATTTAACTTTATCTACCTCCCTAAAAGCCCTCTTTCCAATGCAGTCACATTGGGTATCAACAAGGGCTTCAACATATGAATTTTAGAGGAACACAGCTCCATTCATAACACCACAGCAAAGACCTTATCAAAACATTTCTTTTGACTAGTTTCATTCACAGGATTCATCTTTCTCCTTCATTATGTTCCTAGCCCTGTTTTTGTGCCTCTTAAGTTTTGGCACCTCAGCCAGACATCCAACTGGCTCACTACTTAATCCCACTGTATCACAACGAACATAACGGAGCATTCAGAGCCAAGCTCGGGGTAGTCAAAGGCCTCAAGCAGCTTTATCTGGACCTTATATTCCGCTCAGTGGTAACTTTCAGCTTGGAACTATAAAGATTTTCGCAAGACACCCCACTGTCCCCCGAGTTCTTAACCCTCTGGGACTACTAAATCTCTTAGCAGTGCATGTCCATATTTCAGTGAGTCTTGGTTTGAATCCCCGCTCCAAGGTGAAATGTGGCAGGGATTTTTGTAGTGACAGAAAGCTAAGCTTTCTTCACCTCCTTCCAGGCGTTCCTCACTCCAACAAGGGTGAGACCAAGTGCTCTTGATTCTTCACGGTGAAGGGTGGAGCTGATAGAAATACTTTCTGTTGTGCCTTTGTGCCATAGCATAAAATGATGTCTTCATGAGGGCTTCATCCTTTCTTCTTTTTTTACCCATGAGTTGGCGGGATGCAGAAGTGGGTGTTTCTTATTTATCCTAGGATTTTAAAGGAACACTTTGGTGTTCATTTGTTCTGCCTCTTTTTTTTACATCTTGCAATCTTCAGAGTCATCAACTCACGATTAGAAAAATTATGGGAAAGAAATGAACTTTTCAGCATTTCTGAGTAAGACTTATGGCAATGACTCATTTTGATGTGGAGATTTTAGAAACCTTCTGCAATTTTTCTAAGCCCCACAAATAATCAGTTTAAAAAAAAATCAAGAACAGAGCCAAAACTTGAGCACAGTGTTAATCCTATTAATGATAATAACTAAAAAAAAAAGAAAAAGAAAAGAAAAGAAAAAGAAAGAAAAATGGTCAGAATTGTTTAAAGAGAAGACCCATTTCACCTTCACTGTGAACAACTGAGATCTTTATTGCTTCTTTTAAGTTCTGGACTTTAAACAATGAAACAGTTTTCATAATTAAAATGATGTGTGCAGGCTCTGTGGACGTTCAGTCAAGTTTGACTCCTCTGCTGATGTTGACACTGACTTGGCCTGGAAGTCCTTGAGATGCCCTTTGCCCTTCATCTGCTGTGGTTATTGATTCTGTTCTGCCTCCTCTCTGTTCAGCCTTCAATGCAGTACTGCAGTGAATACACAGATCACAGGGCCTTACGGGCTTACAGAGCTGCAGGTGCCTTAGGACGTTATGTAATCAGGCAAACAAAATGATGACCTCCAAGGGACGCATCCTCCCCTCCTCAGGCGGGGTTGGAAATCCACACCTAGGCTTTTTGTAACTGAGTGTCATCATTGTTTTATTTTTGCACAAGCCTCTCAGTACATAGCCACAGGGCTTCCCGATGACTAGAGAACATTCAGGAAACAGTCCTGAGCGCTACAGATTTGCAAAGAGGGGTTATCTTGGTCCTCAAATAGGCAAAAGTGATTGCCTGATGCTTTATCTTCATAACAATGTTCTCTTTTTCCCCCCTCAGGATGTTGAGAAGTAATCGCATCAGCTGTGTGGGGAATGACAGCTTCATAGGGCTGAGTTCTGTGCGGCTGCTTTCCTTATATGATAATCAAATTACTACGATTGCACCAGGGGCCTTTGACACTCTCCATTCCTTATCTACTCTGTGAGTATGAAAAATAGTCTTCATCTGTGTATTACTTGGGTCTCCCTGTTACATTTATTACTTTCATTGATAACACTTTAATGCACTGTTAGGCATTTCATAAAAATGTGATCAAGGATCAAGTGGTGGTGGTGTTTTGTTTTGTGTGTCTTTTTAAGACAAATTTCTTCATGTTAAACTTATTTTAACTTTCTCTAAAAAGATTACCTACTATCTTATATGAAAATGTAACCAAGATCATAGTATTGTTCAATCAGGTTTTTTTTTTAATAATAACGTGCTGTGGCTTCATTTTGAAATTTTAATTTTATTATAACTCAACTGTGCTGCAAGCAAAGGAAATGCTGTAGCTTTTCCTGAGTGTTCCTGCACGGGCAGCTCTTCAGATAAGTATCATCCAAACAGTTGATGGGGTCATTTCCACCACCCCATGCTCCAGGGCCATTCACAGTGACAGGGGCTGCATCCGGGTGACCTGACCAGCAAGAAGGGCTGTTCACTAGAGGGCGTTAACTGTGACATTAGGAAAATATTAAAGAAATAGGTTGAGCCTTACCATACGGATATTTTATGTAGGTTAGGAGGTTAGGTCTAGACACAGAACTTAGAAAGTATCAAACACACACACACACACACACACACACAAACACACCTCCGAACAATGCATTGCAGGCATATTACATATCAGTATCTAAGAAGCAGTGTTTGAAAATATAAATATTACAAATCAAATCAGATTCCCCTGTAATGGTGACATACTAGTCTAACTCTAAAGGTAGTTAGAAAGAATGAAAAAAGAAGGGGGGGCGGGAGTATGTTCAACATAGCTCAAGTCGCTGAAGAAATAATTTGAGGAAAGCGTCCCTCCATCAGGAAAGTACTTAATCCCCTTCCCACATAAAGTGTGACATTTTACATGGGGTGACTAATTTGTGCATATTAAACATGGCATGTTTATAAATAATGGGATCGTCAGTAGGTTTGTGCTGAAGTGGTGAGATGCCAAAAGTGCAGAGATTTGTGGAAGTGAATTCATTTTTATAACTGGCATTTAATCAACTCAGCTGTCAGCTTCGATGGGAAACCTATTCTCTTGAGCAAATAAGAAATGGAAATCTTGAAATGACAAATTAATGAAATAGCTGTTGTCAGGTTAAACTCAATAATATAAGGTAATCAGCCTTCATCTTTATATTAAGTTGCTGCGTTATCAGGGCAGCGGAGTCTGACAGCAGCTCAGACCTCAGACAAGTTTAAATGATCTATAAATGAGCTATCCCTCCGGATCCACTGCATAAGCCCTAAATTGCTGCTTTCACTTTATTTTTTGCGTGAAATTATTTGAAAGAATTCCGCATATGAAAGTCTTGTTATTTTGTAAATTTTACACATATGTATTTTAGCAAAAAAAAAAATGCATCCCATATATTGTGATGGGGTATGAATCGAGGGCTGGGGGGGGGGGGGATTATGAAACATAAGGAACCATTTCAGCAGAAATGGTGTGGGAAGTGGTAGAATGGGGTTTTGAGAAATAAGGAGGTTTCTTTTTTAAGAAACCCTGACTGACCTCAACTCTGCATTGCTTGCATGTGGCGCTTAGAAACCTCTTGGCCAATCCTTTCAACTGTAACTGCTACCTGGCTTGGTTGGGAGAATGGCTCCGGAAGAAAAGAATTGTAACGGGCAACCCTCGCTGTCAGAAACCCTACTTCCTCAAAGAGATCCCCATCCAGGACGTGGCCATTCAAGACTTCACCTGCGATGATGGTAAGGAGGCCGCGCCCGGCCTGTGGCCCCCAGGCGTCCAGGTGACTGTGCTGGTGCTAAGGGTGCAGCTGCCCCGCGTATCCGTCCGAAGATAGTCCTGGCGCACCTTTTTCGTTGCTTTGTTATGTTTTAGCCAGAGGACACTTCCTTTCTCAGAGGGCACCTTCCTTTCCACATCTACTTTGTGCTTTTGAAGGCTGTAGATTTTCCAATTTCCAACTGGCCCTTGGTACTGTTTTTACAGCTTCATTTTAACATTTCTTTATTACACGAAGCATCTCTTCCAGTAGCTATCTTTTCCAAATGAGAAAAGCAATTGACTTCTAAAATAGAAATGCTAGTAAATCCAGCAAAAGTAATAATTTTCGCTTTTTCATGCACTCTATGTATCATGGCATTTTACTGGAGTAACCCTGTCAGTACGCGAAACAGGTTCTGTAATTATTGCCAGTGAATGCAGAACTGATTTGAGTTCATACTTTAAAAAGAGGGACCCTCCCCGGCCAGCGTGGCTCAGTGGTTGAACATCGACCTATGAACCAGGAGGTCAGGGTTTGATTCCCAGTCAGGGCACATGCCCAGGTTTGCTGGATCCCCATGCAGGAAGCAGCCGATCAATGATTCTCTCTCATCATTGATGTTTCTATCTCTCTCTCCCTCCCTCTCCCTTCCGCTCAGAAATCAATAAAAATATATTTTTAAAAATGAGGGACCCACACCATTTTTGCGAAACATTTGAAATAACTCTGTCCCTTTATGCCTCTTCACGTCTGTCTCCTTAATTCAGTTAACACATAGGTTCTAATTAAAAGTATAATTTATATAAATAACTGCACAAAGACAGTAACTATTATCATTGTACTGATGATACACACTGGACATTATTTTCTGGAATTCTGCCCTCAGCTGTCTAGAAACGGAGCTGTATGAAACATATGGTGTCTGTAAATCCTTATTGCCCTCCACATCAGTGATCATATGGCCCGAAATGGGTGCTTGTTACGTTAATTTAAAGCCATAAAATCATTTCTAACCTCTTCAAAGCTGCAAATCTGGGTTTCCCTGTATGTCTTTTGGCAATTTAGGAAATGATGACAATAGCTGTTCCCCACTGTCCCGCTGTCCCGGGGAGTGCACCTGCTTGGACACAGTGGTTCGATGTAGTAACAAAGGCTTGAAGGGTTTGCCCAAAGGAATCCCAAGAGATGTCACTGAATTGTAAGTAAAAGCTTGTCTTTCTTTCTTTTCTGAGTAATTAATATGTCATACTCCAAGGGAAATGGGCTTCACACCGAAGTTTTTACAGTCCTGTTTGCAGATTACATTCTAGGGGCCATTAATTAGTATCACATAAAACCTTAAACAAATGGACATAAGACACTGGGGGGTAGGGGAGGCCAGGGGATTGTCAAGGACAGGGGAAAAAAAAGGAGACATATGTAATACTCTTTGTAATACTTAAAGCAATAAAAAAAAAAACCTTAAACAAATAATACGAAAGCTGGTTCAGAGACCTTGGGAAATGCCAGTTGTGTGTGTTTCTCTTCTTTCCCTGCAGGATTTCTCAGTGCCTTTATTATGCCAAGGTGCACTGTGGAGCTCCAAGAGAGGGTGGTAAAATGTGAGGTAGCTCCCATACTTACTTGTTTCTATAGCCCTTTTCCCATGGAGTATGTTGCAAGACTAATGTCCCATCCAGTGCACCGTGGGAAATGCTGTGTATTTAGTTCATCCACAGTGTCAGGAGATCCCATTTGGTTAAGTATCCCTTACCCCTGTGTCTCCTAGGAGAACATCTCACCATATGTGGTGCATTAACGTCTGGGAGGCGAGGCGGGAGAAGCTGGCATAATCCTTAAAAAGAAATGTGTGACTACCCTTTGGGCTTGAATCAGAGTCCCTCGGTTTGTAAAGGGCGTGGGGCCAGTTAGCGCTAACATTTTCATTACTGACATTTAACCACAGAGTACATTGCCGAGGCACAATATCCAGACACTAAGCACCACCCACACCTCCTTAGCCGCCTTGTGCTATGTGGTGCTCTGTGTGGGCAATGGAATAAATCAGAGACTAGGCTGTTTAAACGGTATGCATGCGTGCTCTGTTCCATTCCTTCATCTGTGTACCACGGGCCATGTACACATGCCTGACGTGCAGTTAAGTTATTTTGCCTCATTGAGTTTTGTCTGTATGGAACCATGCGTCAAAAACGATGTAAGTCCAACTCTACCTCATGCAAATGCGTACCTGTCATTAATGCGGATGCATCCAAGTACCCCCAATGAGCAGCTTTGATAAACTTTGGTCCAGGCGGAACAGTCTTAATGAGGTTTAAGGAGATGCCACTTCAGTTGTCAAAAAACTTGTTTTCAAATCCTGTGCAGTTCTCTGAATCTTAATTTGGTCCTGAGTGGAACACTTAGACAGAAACCGTGTGATCTTAGCGTGCGCACAGAAGGCCCCTCTCGGATTTGAATAGTTGTGAGGTGATCGGTTTCCCTCTCTGACTATCGGTCGCAGTTGTTAGTTAATGATAAGCACTGTTTTTTTTGTGTGTGTGGTGTGTGATTAAAGACTTAATTCTCACTTTAATGTGTATTTAGTTCAGAAGGTTTCCCTCCATTCAGTATTGGGAAGCTAGATGCCTATGGAGTAGTCTGTATGCATTGATTCTAGGTGCACCCCACCAAGGACATAGCGTACCATTCAGATTGTCTTGACGCTAAATCTCTTCTTGGACCATTTAACTGGCTATCTCTTAGTCATTTTACCTGCTTCCCGTTAAATAATTTTGACCTTGATTTTTGAAAACAATTTGCCCGGCTGGCATGGCTCAGTGGTTGAAAGTCGACCCATGAACCAGGAGGTCACGGTTCTATTCCTGGTTAAGACACATGCCCGGGTTGTGGACTCCATCCTCAGTGGAGGGTGTGCAGGAGGCAGCCAATCAATGACTCTTTGTCATCATTGATGTTTCTCTCTCTCTCTCCCTCTCTCTTCCTCTCTGAAATCAATAAAAATATTTTTTAAAAATCATTAAAATATTTAACATTCTTTCATTTCCTTACTAAAACATATATGAGAACCTGTTTGATCCATGTCCTGTCTATGCCATTTCCGTGTTTCTTTTATCATGTAGTCAAGTCTTCCATCTATTTCTTTACAAATGTTTTAAAGTAATCTCTTTTGCTAAAGAAAATAGATTACAGGGATGAGAAGAATGAACTCATCTCTTGTAAATTCTAGGTTTACTCCCCCAGAGAGCTTATTCTTAGAACTACACTGAGTCAGCAGTATTTCTCTTTATGTATGCTTGTATTAGAAAAATGCCATGTGCTTATTTTATTGAATTATTAAAGAATTTGGTGAAATAATGTTGGTGGAAAATGTTAAACAAACGGTATCTATTATTTTTAATCAGTTCCATACCTCTTAGATTGTTTTACATGTAAACATGCATAGCACTACGTTCTGAAATGAAGGGAGAGTGTTGAAGTACATGGGATTATGCTGCCCTCTAGTGGTAATAAGAAAACATTTATCTACAGGAAGAAAGGAGGGAGAGGAGTTGAAGTATAGTCAGAGATTTTGAGTGGGCATGAGGACTCATCTCATGTGCTGGCTCTTAATCAGATATTTACTATGTACTTTGATAATTTGTGACTTTTTCATAACTGTTTTCATTTTGAAATAGTTGAAATAGACTGTTATCTTAGGCAATTTCTCAGTTATTGCTGTATCCTGCAAAAAATATAACCTCAACCCCGGATCTTGAGATTGGCCCCAACACTGAGGCAGGAGGGGGGTCACATGCCCCTGCGCCAGAATTGATTGTGGGCACTTCTGTACAGGTGGCCCAAGTTAGTGAAAGAATGTTTACCCCTCCCCATCCATATTCTGGGAGAGAAGAGCCTGGGAGGAGATAGAATTTAGTGTGTGTGTGTGTGTGTGTGTGTGTGTGTGTGTGTGCACGCGCGCGCATGTGTGTGTGTCATCATGGATATTTAAGCATTCCTTTACTTTGGTGTCTTGCCAGTTAGCCCAGAGCCTATATATTCTCTGATTATTCTGCTGAGTCTCATCAGAAAAGGACACTTTACTTACTTGTGGTTATTTGATTATTACTTTTGCATATAGATGCTATTTTTGTGCACTTGGTAAATGTGATTTTCTAAGAAACCTCCTACAAGTAATACCAGCAAATAGATATACAATGGTAAAAACTATATTAAGGTATTATTAATTGAAATCTACTTCTGTTTAAATTCCCAAGTATCTCCTTCAAAACATTCATTGTTGTTTACTAATATGCTGATAATATTACGGCGGTAAAGAGTGGTCTCACCCTCGGCAGCAAGGTTCTGCCCGTAGTGCATGCCTTTCATGGTACTGCCTCCACATAAACACAAGCAAAGTGGGGTTTGACTACAAATGTGCTTATTTGAATGAACCTTCTTGCTGACAAGAGAATGGCGGGACACATGCCTGCCTTCTTAGAAAACCACGAAGAACTGGACCCGCCAGTCTCTCCTGGATTTTAGAATTTAGCCCAAGTGATCCACAAAAGAATCTGCTGGATTGGACAAAGCAATTTTTTCTTTTTCTTCTCTTCAAAGCAGTCTCAGCTAGGAACATGAAATCTTTTTTTAATTTTTTTTTTTGTTGATTTCAGAGAGGAAGGGAGAGGGAGAGAGAGATAGAAACATCAATGATGGGAGAGAAATATAGAAACATCAATGATGAGAGAGAGTCATCGATTGGCTGCCTCCTGCACGCCCCACACTGGAGATAGAACCTGCAACCAGGGCATGTGCCCTGACCAGGAATCAAACCACTCGATGCTCAACCACTGAGCCACGCCGGCTGGGATATGAACATGACATCTTGAAGTTAAAATCACTAAATGCTTCCTTACCTCCAGTAAGAGTGAAATATTCTTCAACTATTCCAGGATACACTACTGTTACTTTTAAAAAATATGCCCTAGCCAGTTTGCTCAGTAGTTAGAGCATTGGCCCATGGACTGAAGGGTCCCTGTTTCACTACCCAGTCAAGGGCACATACCTCAGTTGCAGGTTCTATCCCTGGCCCCTTTCCAGGCGAGTGTAGGAGGCAACAAGTGAATGTGTTTCTCTCACATCCATGCATCTCTCTTTCTTTCTTTCTTTTCTTTCCTTCTTTCCTTCCTTTCTTCCTTCCTTCCTTCCTTTCTCTCTCCCTCTCTCTCTCTCCTTCCTTCTTTCCTCCCTCCCTTCCTCTCTCCTTCCCTTTCTTTCTCTCTCTCTCTCTCTCTCTCTCTCTTTCTAAAGATGAATGGAAAAGATATCATCAAATGAGGATTAAAATAATAATCATAATCATAATCATAATCATAATCATAATAATATTGTTTCCTTGTTTTTAGGTACCTGGATGGGAATCAATTCACATTGGTTCCTAAGGAACTCTCTAACTACAAACACTTAACACTTATGTAAGTAACGTATGGTATGTTTCTGCCTTTGACTTCTCATTCTATTTCATGAAAATGGGATAGCAAGGGGCAGAGATGTAGTGAGCCTTTCGGATAATATAACTCACTCGCAGTCAGAGGCTCCCCCTCGCTCACCTGGTCCTGGATCGCTAGCTCCGGCTTTACTGTGTATCAGTCAGGCCATGGCGAGGCCTAGAAAAGGTCCTCTCGTCAAAGTACAAATTCAGTTAAGTCTGTGTATCGAAGGATTGTAAAGATTTGGCACGAAGGGTACTGCTATTCATAATGAAATGGGCTATTTTATAACAAGCCAAGGAAAGGTAGAAAAACATATTTTTATTCTTGAATTTAAACAAGAGATGGTAGATGATAATAATCTCACTGGAAACATAAATCTAGTTTATTAGGCTTGATTCTCTTTATATAATAAAATATGAATTGTTATGGGCTTCCAGTATTCAAATTCATTTTACAAAATCTATGTTTACTTCTACAGTATTTAAGAAAATGTGACAAAGATGCTGGCATTCTGAGTATAAATTTCAAAACATTGTTGTTTTTTTAGTTTGGTTTGATGTCCTAAGATAATATCTTTTTCCCATTCATGTATGTAAATAATTTTTTACCATTTTAAAGTAGATATAAGATTATATTTAAGCACACAAAAATTTCTATCTAGTTATGTGCAAAATATTTTTAAAAATATATAACCTCACCCAATATAATGTCACAGTTAGAGTAGCCTTGATAGAAACTGATAACATTTCTCACAAAACAAAATATTAGCAACAATAGTGAATGTATAGGGAAATACTTTATCTTGTTTAAGTCTATCTGGTTTTAGAGTAAATATGACTGGCTTAGGAGGCAGATTTCTATTATTCCTGTAATAAGGAGGTTTATTCCTAACTAGTGAATTCTAGAAACCGAGGGAGCAGAAGATGTTGAATTTCTCAATGTAAATATTACCCTCTGGCAGCGATTTTCAAGTGGAGTGCTGCAAGAATTTTTAGAACATGCTATGCCTATTTAGCCAGGGGCACGGATATGTTTTCCCTTCGGTTGTCAAATTTAAAAAATGACAATAGCCAACACAATAGCCAACAATTTTGAATGTATCAGAATTATACCTCTTTCTGCCCTGGCCAGTATTGCTCAGTGGTTGGAATGTCGGCCCATGCACTGAAGGGTCATGGGTTTGATTCCTACTCAAGGGGCCCGTACCTGGTTTGCAGGTTCTATATCCAGCCCCAGATGGGGCACATGTGGGGGGAAACCAATAATGTGTCTCTCTCACATTATTGGTTTCCCTCTCTCCCTCCCTCCCTCCCTCCCTCCCTCCCTCCCTCCCTCCCACACTCTCTAAAAAAATAACTCACATAAATGAGTGAGGATTAACAACAACAAAGGTATACCTATTTTTGTGTGAAGTCAGCAAACGTTATAATATAGTTGTGGTTCTGCGGAATTTTAATAATGAGTTTGTGTGCCATGAAATGAAAAAAGGTTGAAAATCGCTGCACTAGGGAGGTGGAAGTTAGTGAAAATGATGCTTACGATTTTCAATTTTCCTTAAAAATACGGGAAAACACTTTGTAAGAAGCACCCAGGACTGTTTAGATGACAAACTATGAAATTAAGGAAAAAGGAATACCCTCCAAGGCGCCTTGTTCTGCCCTAGTTATTTGTTTAACAGCAGCAAGAAGCGATTATGTGCATTTTGTTCTGTTAAATAAACCTTTAAATTGCTGCAGTTTCCAAAGGGTCACTTGAGCAGAATCGGGTCATTTGTGGGACAGTGCGTGATTATTCAAAACCAATTTGAAAATGAAAAATGAGACTTTGTAGATCCACAGATGGTTTCACCAAGGAGTCATTTTGCTGATATAGATATATTTATTTCCTTTTAAAAGGTAGGTATAGTACTTCAGCAGTTGAGAACATGGATTTTAGAGCTTCCATAGCATCCCTACTATTTTCATAATTTAATAGGTCCATTTTACTGATCCCTTTGGTGCTTTAATAAAGCAATGGATAATTAGCTATTCTGGATCTTGCATTTAACGATTCATATATTTTACTTCAAAAAAATTTTGTGAATATAAATACACATAAATTAACATAAATTATATCCTAAATTATTTATTCATGAATTTTTCTCTTATTTATATATTTGGCATTTTGCTTTAGGAAAACATTAGTGAATATATACACCTTCACTAATATCTGTGTCATTGTTGAATACAATGGGGCCTTGACTTACGAATTTAATTTGTTCCGTGACGAAGCTCGTAACTCAAATTACTCGTATGTCAAATCAATTTTCACCATTACAATGACACGTGATGCCGGGCTGATGTTGTGGCGTTCACTGTGACGTTCACTGCACCAACTAGCAGTGGGGTATCTAAAGCTGGCTCATAACCCGAATTTTAGCTTGCAACTCAAATCAAAACATCGGCCAAGAGACAGCTAGACTCTCGAAAAACTCGTTAGTCGGGACACTCGTAAGTCAAAGCCCCACTGTATATGGAGGTGTATATATTCATAATTTTTCCTAAAGCAAAATGCAAAATATGTATATGTAAATGTTATATATGATTATATTTCATTATATATTACTAGAGGCCAGGTGCACAAAAATTTGTGCACTAGGGTGGGGGGGGGTCCCTCAGCCTGGCCTGTGCCCTCTTGCAGTCTGGGACCCCTTGGGGGATGACCACCTGCTGGCTTAGGCCCGCTCCCCGGGGGGTTGGGCCTAAGATGGCAGTCAGACATCCCTCTGGCAGCCCGGCAGCCCTCGGGGGATGTCCACTTGCCAGCGGGGAGCAGACCTAAGCTGCAGTCAGACATCCTTAGCACTGCTGAGGAGGCAGGAGAGGCTCCCACCACCACCGCTGTACTGGCAGCCATCAGCCTGGCTTGTGGCTGAGCAGAGCTCCCCCTGTGGGAGCGCACTGACCACCAGAGGGCAACTCCTGCATTGAGCATCTGCCCCCTGGTGGTCAGTGTGTGTCATAGTGACCAGTCATTCCCAGTCTTTGTGCTGTTAGGGTCAGTTTGCATATTACCCTTTTACTATATAGGATAGAGGCCTGGTGCATGGGTGGGGGCCGGCTGGTTTGCCCTGAAGGGTTTCCGGGATCAGGGTGGGGGTCCCGCTTGGGTGCCTGGCTAGCCTGGGTGAGGGGCTGATGGCTGTTTTCAGGATGGCCACACCCCCTTTAGGGTGTGAGTCCCCACTGGGGTGCCTGGCCAGTCTGGGTGAGGGGCTGAGGGCCGTTTTCAGGCTGGCCGGCGACTGAAGCCCCCAACCTCTCCTTTTTTTCTTTTTTTTTTAATTCTGGGGTTTATTTGCCTTCTATAATTGAAACTTTGTTGCCGTCACTGGAGCTGAGAGCCAGCTCCAGGTCTGAGGCTATGGCCTACTGAAAGCAGGTATCTGGGGTTTGTTTAGCTTCTATAATTGAAACTTATTTGCTTTTGGAGCTCAGAGCCATGCCGCAGCATGCGGGAAACCTTGGCTTCCTCCATCACTGGAGCAAGCAAGCCTCCTGCTCACTTCAGCTGCATGGCTTCCGGCCACCATCTTTGTTGGCAGTTAATTTGCATATCTCCCTGATTAGCCAATGGGAAGTGTAGCAAAGGTACGGTCAATTACCCTTTTTGTCTTTTATTAGATAGGATATGTATATTATGCCATTATATTATATATATCACATATCTGATCTAATAAAAGAGAAACATGCAAATTGACCATACCTCTGCTACACCCACCAGCCATGCCCACCAGCCAATCAGGAGCAAATATGCAAATTAACCCAACTAAGATGGTGGTTAATTTGCATACTAGGCACCAGTGGCCTGGGTCCAGGAAACATCAGAGGGCTCCCAGGTCACTTTGAGGTAGGCCCCATGTGGGCCCTGAGCACCCTAGGGAGGATCTGAGCCAGGGGGCTCCTGGGAAGGGCCTGAGCCTGCAATAAGAGCCAAGGGGGCCCCTGCCCAGGCCTAAGGCTCGGCCAGAGCCTTGTGGCCTGGGCAAGGGCAAGCCAGCCATCAGAGTGGGCTGGGTGTCCCCTGCCCAGGCCTAACCCCTAGCCAGAGGCCTTAGGCCTGGGCAGGGGCTGAGCTGGGGATCAGTGTGAACTACAGAGGAAACACCTTTTCTGACTGCTCATTGGCTAAGTTCTCTGTATGCCTCTGGTAATATTCTTAGTAACTTGGGTAATAAGAATCCAAGAAGGTGATGTAGGGTTTTTCCACCTCACTCCTGGAGAAAAAAACGAAGGTACGCTGCTGGAGGGCTAAGAAATGTCATATCCTGCCCTAGCCCATTTGGCTCAGTGGATAGAGCCTTGGCCTGCAGACCTCAGGGTCTGAGTTCGATTCTGATCAAGGGCATGTACCTAGGTTGCAGGCTCCTCACTGGCCGGGGCCCAGGTCAGGGCTCATGCAGGAGGCAACCAATCAAAATTTTCCTCTCACTTTGATGTTTCTCTCGCTCTTTCCCTTTCTCTTCCACATTCTCTAAAAATCAATGGAAACATATCCTCAGGTGAGGATAAAAAAAAATAATAAAGAAATGTCATATCCTATGAAAGACACATCTTGAAAATGCCTAAAGAAAGTTGTCATTTTTTCATGGTGAAGGGACTGGAGTCTGTGTTGATGAAAACACCTTGGTGGCTGCGGTGACTGGCAGTGGGGGCTGGCGCCTTCCCCTGATCAGCCTGGTCGCTTCCCACAAAGGGAGGCCAGACTGCGGCTTAGGCCCGCTCCCTAAGGGGAGCAGGGAGGGGGCTTAAGCCATCAGTAGGACATCCCCTGAGGGCCCCCAGTATGTGAGAGGGGGTAGGCTGGCCTGAGGGACCAGCCCCAGCCCCCAGTGCATGAATTTCGTGCACCGGGCCCCTAGTATTATATATAACAAAAATAAGATCAAGTTCACTGAATATAAATTATAACCCATAGTACAAAATGCACTTATAAATAGCCATTTAACTTCGGTAAATAATTCACATCTCTCTCATTTACTTATCATTCAATAAATAGATATTTACTGAAGACCTAGTATGTATTGGCGACTTTGGCCAAGGGCAGAATTATTTTTTTGCTTTTTTTAAAAATATATTTTTAATGACTTCAGAGAGGAAGGGAGAGGGAGAGAGAGATAGAAACATCAGTGATGAGATAGAATCATTGATTGACTGCCTCCTGCATGCCCCCTACTGGGGATTGAGCCCACAACCTGGGCATGTGCCCTGACCAGAATGGAACCCAGGATCCTTCAGTCTACAGACCAATGCTCTATCCATGGAACCAAACTGGCAAGGGCAGAGCAGAGTTTTTAATTAAGGCATTTTGTTGGTGGTGGTGGTAGTTTTTCAAATATGTGTTTCTTGATTTCAGAGAGGAAGGGAGAGGGTGAGAGAGAGAGGATATATTGGTGAGGATATATTCCCAAGAAAATAAGTATGTGTAACTGATGGAACTTTCAAAGACAAAGGTTTCTTTCCCCCCATACAATGTGTCCATTGTAACTGGCCTCCACATGCCTTTGTTCTGGGACCAGGCAACAGTCACAGGGTCTGGGGAAGGTCACAAGTCTTACAGGAGAGAGAGGAGAAAGGACATGGGAAAAGTGAGCTCGCTCTAAATCTTTTCTGAAGTGAAACTGGCTCGGGTGCCTACACCTCATTGGCCCAAGCAAGGCGCATGAATCGTTGTGAATAACATTATAGTCTATTCCAGAAGGTTGCCCGATGTCTTGTTATTTTCAGGTAAAAGCTGAGTGCTAACATTGTTGCTATGACCTTGAACAAAAAGACCTTCTCTTTCTATGAATCATGAATATTTCCATGTCTGTGCTAACAGTAGACTCCATTTCCTTCTTTTTCTCTTTCAGAGACTTAAGTAACAACCGAATAAGCACCCTTTCTAACCAGAGCTTCAGCAACATGACCCAGCTCCTCACCTTGTGAGTGTGAAAGTGCGGTACTGAGTTTTCATTAATTCGCTGGGCACAGTGCATTTTCTAGGCACTGGACATTCCTGGTAAACAAGACAGATAGCATCTTTGCCCTTGAGGAATGTAAATACTTGCTGGGAGAAACAGACAAATAATGCCTCAATCAGCCAACAAACACAGACATTACAAAAGGTGGTGGGTTCTATAAAAGACAGAAGGGATATTTACACCTGTGGTGGAGTTAGAGGAGATGCGTAAGCAAATGTATGCAGAAGGTCACCTTCTGGAGGGCATAGTTGAGGCCTCAGCACCTGTGGAGGTAGGAAGCTTTCTGGGCTTTACTTAGGAAATATATAGGTTGTTTCACTAAAACAATACAATATTTTTTAAACAATATTAGGTGTCAGTATTCTCAATTTATAAGATACTAAAATAACCTTCTTCTTAGCCACTTTATTTTAAAAATGACATCTGGCCCTTTTGGGATGCCTGAGTAAGACCACTTGGCTTCTATATGCTTTCAGGATTCTTAGTTACAACCGTCTAAGATGTATCCCTCCGCGAACCTTCGATGGATTGAAGTCTCTTCGATTACTGTAAGCATCTGATGTTCAACAAAGAAATTCTTCTCAGGGATCGAGTTGTCTCTTTACTACTGGCTTAACTGCTTTGTTGATCCTTGGGTGTGTTTGGTTATATGCACTAGGATTTACTACAAATTTGGAAAAGCATATCTGACTACATCATTGTTCATCAGCTTTAATTTGGGCAATATAATTTTCTCTTCTGTCATGTTTTTGCTGTAATTGCTTATTTGATAATATACAATATTTAGAGGTATGTTTTACATAGAGTCAACTAATTCTGAAAGAAATGTAGGAAATGTTGTCTTTGCTGGTTACATAATAAGTGAATTTTAAAGCATATAAAATAAAACATGATCCTCAAGCCCAGTGCCGTCCCTAAGAATTTACCATTATCCAATTTGATGTTCTTTTATGACCCTCCCTTACATATATTTGGTTTTTGTTTTGTTTTTGTTTTTAATATATTTTCCTTGATTTCAGAGAGGAAGGGAGATAAAGAGAGAGAGAAATATCAATGATGAGAGACAAGCATTGAAAGGTTGCCTCCTGTACACCCTCAACTGGGGATTGAGCCCACAACCGAGGCATATGCCCTTGACCAGAATCAAATCTGGGACCCTTCAGTCCACAGGCTGACACTCTCTATCCGCTGAGCAAAACTGGCGAGGGCAACACATTTGGTTATTTTGATGATATACATATTCCCTGGCTATGTCAATTTTAAAAGCCATAAATAGGAATTGTTCTTTTTCTGTCACATCTTCACTATCATATGTTTTACTTCCAAATTTTCATAATTCTGTTCATCACTCTAAAGAACAGCCCACACGTTCACTTTGGTACCAATGTGCTAGTAATTTCAGCAATGATTTGCACGGGAAATTACTGTCAAGTGTACTGGGAGAATACGAAAAATAAACATCACATTGCCCTTCAAATGGGATTTTGTCAATTTACAAATTTATTTTTTTCCACCAACTATTTAATAGAGTACCTGCTTTAAAGCACTCCTGCCAATACTGAATATCATCAATCCTTTCATTTTCATCGTATGACAAAAGCAACTTTATTTCCCATTTCTGATTTAATTTGCAATTCCAATTACTCGAGCATTTGAATATATTTTTTTTATTGAGCATTTGTGCTGCTTAATCTATGAGCCTGATCATATCATTGCCCTGTTTTTATTGGGTACTTTGTCTTTCCCTTATTAACTTACATATCTTTGTACATCTAGCACTTGACTCTAAGTTTGCAGGTCTTTTCACAAAGGAATTATTCCTCGTATCTAATACGTGTTGCAAATATTCCCCATCCTCTTCCTTATATGTAATCTTTTATAGTATGAATATATTTTCTGTCCTCAAAAATGTGTCACTCCTTTTCGTTATGGTTACTGAGTTTTACACAATGATTTTGAAACCCTTTCCTATCCTGTTTATAAAACGGAACTCTTCTGTATTTTCTCTTACTACACTTCAGTTTTATTTTTACATTTAACTCTTCAACCTAGAATTTATGTTATGCATACGACTTGAGGTAGGAACTAATTTTTTGCTTTCTGAAATAGATATCAAAGCTATTTATTGACTAGACCATCTTGTCTGCACTGATTTAAAATGCTTATCATCAACTGAAGTTTCATATACATGCATGGGGATTTTTCTGAACTCTCTGAGTTATAGGAAATTGAATTTTCTTTTTCTTGTTTTAGTTCTTTACATGGAAATGACATTTCTGTTGTGCCTGAAGGTGCTTTCAACGATCTTTCTGCATTATCACACCTGTGAGTACCTAGTTCATGGTGTGGGTTTAGGCTCCAACTGTCCCTGGCAAGCGAGTTTGCAACACGCATCCTCTGCTGCCCCTTTTATTGTCGCATCATCACATGTGAATGGTTTCATTTTAAAGAAAATGTAAAGATTTTCAATGTAGATATGGTGAACTCCACAAGATGGCCTTCATTTATTCTTTTGGCCCATACTCCCCATTAGTTGAGTTCTCTTTGCTCACCCAACGTCCTAACCAATACCTTTGCTCTCATTGTTCCCTGATTCTAAAATATTGGCTCTCTTCCATGCAGTCTCTCCAAACCCAGTTGTTCTAAGACACATCCCAAGTATCACCTCTTCCATGAAGCCTACCTTGTTGCCTCAAACAAGATTCGTTTATTTAGCAAATATGACTCAGCAATAGCTATGGTTCCATGCAGAAATAAATGAGACAGAGTTCACGACCTTATAATGTGGTAGAGGGCAATAGCCAAATCCTCACACTGGGTGAAACACTTTTCTTTGTGTTCTTTGTCATAGCAGCCATGTGCACCTCCATATTTCCTGGAAGTGCAATTTTAGAAATTAAAAATATGGGATAAATGGGATCCAAAAACTCAGCTGGGTCAAATTTCATGATTCTGTTATTTTCGGTTGTACTGTTAAGACCATGGCCAACCTGGACAGAAGTTGGGGGAGCGGTCCTAGGAACCACAGCCTTCCTGAGGCAGGCTGCATGGGCATTCCCAGGGAGCGGCTCTCTGCTTTGGCTTAAATGTCAGTGTCACTGGGCTCCCATTTCCCCAGAGAGGTTGCCTGCCATGTCCCCTCTTGGTATTGCCCTTCCCTCCCAAACCCACCAAACCCCAAGGTATGATTATAGAAAATTGAGACAGGGGGATGGGCGGAGGATAGGAGTTAGTTGTCAATTATGCTATATCTGAATTTGTCCTATGGGGGCTGTGTTCTCCATGCAGGTGTTTGCACATCTGATTGTTTGGTGCCTACAGTGACTAATCCTTCCAACTAAACGATTAGGGTGCAGGAAGCAAGACCTCTGTTTTCCATATTTGAACCCCAGCACCTCAAAGTCAACATCAGGACCACTCAGGGGTGTCAGTGAGACATGATGTTAATGAAAGCCAATAGCTCTGGGTGCAAGACTGTGGTGCTCTCTGGCAGACCAGAACATGCAGCACAAAGAAGGACGTGGCCGTCCCATCCGCTAGGTCAGGGTGATGGAGCAGGAAGGGTTGCCCTGGGCAGCGTGACTTGAGCTCAGGGGAACATCCCTTTCTGTGGCCACCCCACTCACAGTGAGGGCAATTTGAGCTTCTTTGTCCTGTGTTCCGTTCACTCCTGTATTTAATGTATGCATTTGTCTCTTACTCCCTAGGTTATAAACAGCTCTGCTCTATGCACTTTTTCTGCTGCATCCCTCACATAGTAAGGACTTAGCAAATGTCACTAAGGAAAAGACCAAATGACTCAAAAACATCATGTTGCTCATTTTTTATTTGTAAAAAGAGTTTGAATCTGACGCAGATATGAGCTTAACTTTTACTCCAGTTTTTTTGTTTAGAGTTGGGCATTAAAGTTGCAATGTGAAGTATTGTAAAGTATTTTACAAGCATATTATGGGGATTTTCTAATAAAACAGTAACGTCAATTTTGTGTAGACCATAGACCTAAAATGTTATTAATCTGAACTTAATTATCAATCAGAATTAATCAGTTTTTAAATGCTATTTTATGTATCTCTTGTGCCCAAATTTGGCAATTTTACAAACCCAATGGTTAACTTATTTGGCCTCAGGTTCTTCATCTGTGAAATGCTTTATTATACTATTGACATCAGAGAGTTGCTATTTTGGATAAAATGATGTAATTCGAGTAAATACACAGCTTAGCACAGTCCCTGCCTATAGAATGACGCAGTAAATGTTAGCTATTACCTTGATTACTATTCCTATCACTACTGCTACCTGTGTGAGTAGGAACCAAAGCTCTGAAATGAAACACTTTATAAAGGGACCTTCATCCAATGACGGTCTAAATCAGCTCTGGCGAACTAGTGTCTCTGTTTTCCCAGGCACTTTCTCATCTTTGTGCCTGTGTGCTCACTGGTTTTACCCTGGAACATCCTCCCCAGCCTTTCCCACCTTCTTGACTCATCTAAAAGCTTAAACATTTTAACCACCAGTCCCCCACGGAGTTATCCTCTGTCCACAGTCCTCTTGTAAATCCTTCTGCTAGAGCACTTCTAAAGGAAGTGTGTGTGCACGTATGTGTATAGGTTAATCTCCCTCACAGCAGGAGTTCTTGGGAGTTAAGAGTAATGTAGGTCTCATATTGGGGTCCCCAGAACCCAGCACCGTGATTGCGTTCTCATTAAATAATTGGCGAATGAAGGCAGCGTTGATCTCCACCCAATTTAAACCTGTCTCTGCAAATACCTAGTCGCTGTCTAAATTTCAGGTGTGTGTTAACACTTGTGATGACTCACTAAATCTCAGTTGCACATAATCCAGGAAAATGGGTAACCCAATGTCTTCATTTTTTTTGCCAATTGTTTTTGCCAGTAAATCTATAGGGAATTTCTACTGAGCATCACTTTATGTTCCCTTAGGAAATAATACGTGTGTGTGTGTGTGTGTGTGTGTGTGTGTGTGTGTGTGTGTGTGGTGTTTTTCAGAGCAATTGGAGCCAACCCTCTTTACTGTGACTGTAACATGCAGTGGTTATCCGAGTGGGTGAAGTCGGAATATAAAGAACCGGGTATTGCCCGTTGCGCCGGACCTGGAGAAATGGCGGATAAACTGTTACTCACAACTCCGTCCAAAAAATTCACATGTCAAGGTATGGTATTTAATCATTTGTATTTCTGTAAATAAAATTTGCCATGTTTATTTCAAAAGAAAAAAAAATACCATTTGCTGCTAGATTTTAAAGGCATCACTGAAAAGCCCCAGTAACTACTGTTTCCACCCACGCGTGGGCAAGACAGAGCAGTTATCTGAGGTACCCAAGTAAAGAATTAGGCTTTTCAAATAAATTGCAGAAAGAGTCCATTGGAAATTACGAAGTTTTCTTTAAATTGCATGAAGAAGTGAAGAGTGCACAATTTCTGGAAATTCCTCTCATAGCCTCTCACAAGTGACATGTTTTGCTTTCGCTTTGTCTGAACGTGTGCCCCGCTCCCAGGGCTGCCAGGGCCCTGTGGCTTCCTGACGCCAGGTAAGGACATGAGCCCCCCGGTGTCAGGCCAAACCTCCCCTCTGGCCTCTCGTGCTGCCCTCTTCCTGGTATAATATGGCTGTGGCTTCCTTCCTTCCTTATGTCCCTGGTTTCCCCTTTGTTTTATGTATTTGTGAATCTGCAATAGCATCTTATTAACAAATATTTTTTCTATTATTACAAGAATAGTATATACCCAACATAGAAAAATCTAAAGAATAAATTGTAAACAATAAGAAATGTTTCATTTCTGCAAAAACTAAATCCCAATACCTAGAGGTAAACATTATTAAACTTGTTTTGTATATTTTTCCATGTTTTCTAGTCAAATGCATGGGTTTATTTTTTATTTATTTTTAAATATATTTTTATTGATTTCAGAGAGGAAGAGAGAGGGAGAGAGTGATAGAAACATCAATGATGGGAGAGAATCATTGATCGGCTGCCTCCTGCATGCCCACACCGGGGATGGAGCCCACAACCTGGGCATATGCCCTGACCAGGAATCAAACTGTGACCTCCTGGTTCATAGATCGACACTCATCCATTGAGCCATGCTGGCCGGGCTCAAATGCATGGATTTAGATTCCTTACCAAAGATGGGATAGAAGGTTACTGTCAATCTTAATTTGTAGATTTTCAAGCAAGCCACTCATCATTACTAGATGGAGGAGAGAAATTCTTGAAAATTTTAAATGTATAATCAGTAAATGTTTATTAAACATGTTTTATGTGTAAAACTAAACCCTAGCTATCATGGAACATACAGATGTTCGTGTTATGTTCTTGCCTTCCAAGGCTTGAAAACCTAGCTGAAAATATAAGCTTCCAACATTTGCACCTTTAGGTGAGAAAAATGTATCTAAGTAGGTCATAGTGTACTTGGGGTCACAATGGGTCTTAGTGTGCATGGGTCACAGTAGGCCATAGTGTGAAGGGGATCACAGTGTACAATGGGTCACAGTGAGTCATAGTGTACATTGGTTCACAGTGGGTCTTAGTGTGCATGGGTCACAATAGGCCATAGTGCACAGGGGGTCACAGTGTACAATGGGTCACAGTGAGTCATAGTGTGCATGGGTCACAATGGGCCTTAGTGTGCATGGTTCACATTGGGCCTTAGTGTGCAGTGGGTCACAGTGGGTCTTAGTGTGCATGGGTCACAGTAGGCCATAGTGTGCAGGGGGTCACAGTGTACAATGGGTCACAGTGAGTCACAGTGTACAATGGGTCACAGTGAGTCATAGTGTGCATGGGTCACAATGGGTCTTAGTGTGCATGGGTCACATTGGGCCTTAGTGTGCATGGGTCACAATGGGCCTTAGTGTGCATGGGTCACATTGGGCCTTAGTGTGCATGGGTCACATTGGGCCTTAGTGTGCATGGGTCACAATGGGTCTTAGTGTGTGCATGGGTCACAGTAGGCCATAGTGTGCAGGGGGTCACAGTGTACAATGGGTGACAGTGAGTCATAGTGTGCAGTGGGTCACAGTGGGTCTTAGTGTGCATGGGTCACAATGGGTCTTAGTGTGCATGGGTCACAATGGGCCTTAGTGTGCATGGGTCACAATGGGTCTTAGTGTGCATGGGTCACATTGGGCCTTAGTGTGCATTGGTCACATTGGGCCTTAGTGTGCATGGGTCACAATGGGCCTTAGTGTGCATGGGTCACAATGGGTCTTAGTGTGCATGGGTCACATTGGGCCTTAGTGTGCATGGGTCACAATGGGCCTTAGTGTGCATGGGTCACATTGGGCCTTAGTGTGCATGGTTCACATTGGGCCTTAGTGTGCAGTGGGTCACAGTGGGTCTTAGTGTGCATGGGTCACAGTAGGCCATAGTGTGCAGGGGGTCACAGTGTACAATGGGTCACAGTGAGTCACAGTGTACAATGGGTCACAGTGAGTCATAGTGTGCATGGGTCACAATGGGTCTTAGTGTGCATGGGTCACATTGGGCCTTAGTGTGCATGGGTCACAATGGGCCTTAGTGTGCATGGGTCACATTGGGCCTTAGTGTGCATGGGTCACATTGGGCCTTAGTGTGCATGGGTCACAATGGGTCTTAGTGTGTGCATGGGTCACAGTAGGCCATAGTGTGCAGGGGGTCACAGTGTACAATGGGTGACAGTGAGTCATAGTGTGCAGTGGGTCACAGTGGGTCTTAGTGTGCATGGGTCACAATGGGTCTTAGTGTGCATGGGTCACAATGGGCCTTAGTGTGCATGGGTCACAATGGGTCTTAGTGTGCATGGGTCACATTGGGCCTTAGTGTGCATTGGTCACATTGGGCCTTAGTGTGCATGGGTCACATTGGGCCTTAGTGTGCATGGGTCACAATGGGTCTTAGTGTACATGGGTCACAGTAGGCCATAGTGTGCAGGGGGTCACAGTGTACAATGGGTGACAGTGAGTCATAGTGTGCAGTGGGTCACAGTGGGTCTTAGTGTGCATGGGTCACAATGGGTCTTAGTGTGCATGGGTCACATTGGGCCTTAGTGTGCATGGGTCACAATGGGTCTTAGTGTGCATGGGTCACATTGGGCCTTAGTGTGCATTGGTCACATTGGGCCTTAGTGTGCATGGGTCACAATGGGTCTTAGTGTGCATGGGTCACAATGGGTCTTAGTGTTCATGGGTCACATTGGGCCTTAGTGTGCATGGGTCACATTGGGCCTTAGTGTGCATGGGTCACATTGGGCCTTAGTGTGCATGGGTCACATTGGGCCTTAGTGTGCATGGGTCACATTGGGCCTTAGTGTGCATGGGTCACATTGGGCCTTAGTGTGCATGGGTCACAATGGGTCTTAGTGTGCATGGGTCACAGTAGGCCATCGTGCACAGGGGGTCGCAGTAGGTCATAGTGTACATTGGGTCACAGTGGGTCTTAGTGTGCAGTGGGTCACGATAGGTGATAGTGTGCAAGGGTCACAGTAGGCTATAGGGTACTTTGGGTCACCATGGGTCATTGTGCGCAGGGGGTCACAGTAGGCCGTAGTGCTCAGGGGGTCACAGTAGGCCATAGTGCTCAGGGCATCACGGTGGGTCATTGTGCGCAGGGGGTCACGGTGTGAGAGCAGAGGCCCGGCCTGACCTATTCTGGGCTGAACCAGGTTCACTTTGCAGCAGTTATGGAGCAGTTTAGCTATACTGTGCCTCAGTTTTCTCCTGTGTAAGCAGAGGCAATGACAGTACCTACCCAAAAGAGCTTTGTTAACACTAGATAAATCATTACATGTGGAATCTTTAATTTAAAAAAGCCAATTTTATAGAAAGAAAGAATAAATGGTGGTTACCAGGGGCTGCAGGAAAGCGAAAATGGGAAGCTATAGGTCAAAGGCTTCAAACTTTCAGTTATAAGAAGAATAAGTTGAGAGGATGGAATGTTCAGTATGATCACAGTAGTTAATAATACAGAGTTGGCCTGGCTAGTGTAGCTCAATGGTTGAGTGTCTACCTATGAACCAGGAGGTCATGGTTCAATTCCGGTCAGGGCATGTGTCAGGGCACATGCAGTCTTAACCCCTAGTTGGGGACATGCAGGAGGCTGCCTATCAATGATTTTCTCTCATCATTGATGTTTCTCTCTCCCTCTCCCTTCCTCTCTGAGAAAAAAAAATTATAATAATAATACAATGTTGTATACTTGAAAGTTGCTCAGTGGATCTTGAGCAATTTCACCACACACAAAACTGTTAACTATGCAAAGTTACAGATGTGTTAATTATCTTAATTCCACAATATTCATGTATATTTCATCATCACATTGTACACATTAAATATATGCCATTATATTTGTCAATTATCCCTCCATATAGTTGGGGGAAAGGATTAGTTGAATTAAATATATATGTAAAACACGTTACCTTACACACAGAAAGCACCCAACATAGGTTAACCACTAATTCTATTATGACTCTTCAAAAGACCAACAAACATGATGAGGGACTCTCCATGATTTATTGATGAAAGAAGGAATTTTCAAAACCTATGTTCCCTACAAACATTTTTAACTTGGCATCCAATGCTTTTTTTCCATAACTATAAATGGTTGCAAAATATGTCATTTGCAGTGCACTATGTTTGACTTTTAAAAAAAAATTCTGCCATTACTCTTTTAAATGTATTTGGTGGAATCTAATGTAACAGCTAATTTTAAAAGACCAAAACAAGCCCTTGCCGGTTTGATTCAGTGGATAAAGTGTTGGCTGAAGGGTCCCAGGTTCAATTCCGGTCAAGGGCACATGCCCGGGTTATGGGTTTGCAGGAGGCAGCTGATCAATGATTCTCTCTCATCATTAATGTTTCTATCTCTCTCCCTCTCCCTTTTTCTCTGAAATCAATAAAAATATATTTTTTTAAAAAGACAAAAACAAGATTCTTCTTTTTTCTTTTTCCTTGAACTTACGTTTTTCTCCTTGAATTTCTATTTCCAATACCTCAGAGAATTATATCGTTCTTTGTTACCAAAAAAAGTATATATAATTAAAATTTTAAAAAGTTTCCTGCCACCAAAAATCTGTGAGTTTTTAAGTTTTTTTTATTTTAAATGAATTATTTCCGTTAATACTTGAGCCATTGATTGGGACAGCATAATTATTTACCCATATTTTAATATTGTTA